AGCAGGAACTCGGTGTGCCCCCAGCGTCCTGTCAAGCCATGCTGGGACTGGCAGGGATTGGATGGGACGGTGGCGAGCCTGATCCTTCCCAGGGTGCCTGCCTGCCCTGGGTGCTGCCCCAGGTAGAGTGCCAGGGGGGGATCCCCCACCCTTTGCAGTGTCCCTGCTAGGCTGCTGCTGCCCTGCTCAATGTCACACTCAGAGCCTGTCAACGTGAAAAAAGGTTTGCAGGCGATAAGCGATGGGGCTGCGGCCGCGCCGCGCCGCCCGCGCGTGATTTACTGCGGCGTCGCTAACGGAGCGCAGATTTTTCTTAATCTAAATTGAAAACTACTCAAGTAGAAAAATAATTTCATTGCTTCATCCTGAAGGGGCGGGGGAGAGGGAGGGGAAGAGCTGTGCCAGGGCAGGCAGGGCCACAGCTGCCTGCACCCCCTGCGCCACCATTCCCCACGGCCTTGGGCAGCTCCTGCACTGGGGACATGTGGCAGCTGCTCCAGCTCGGGCAGAAAAACTTGGTTGTGTGGGGAAGGGGCAGCTGCCAGGACTTAACTCTGGGGTGTCAGAGCACACCCAGTCCCCGCTGGGATGCAGCCCCCCAGTGCAGGTTGATGCTGGCACAGGTGGGGATGTGCAGCCTCACAGATAGATTGGTAATTTGGAGCACGAGTGAATTCTGGGAGCATTTGCTGAGCTGGATAATAACGTGCCCAGTGAGCTGCATCCCATGCATGCTGCCAAATTAAAGAAATTTTTTTCTCCTTTAATTTAAAAGTCACCGTTGGGAAATCTCCACTGGCCGCAGCAGTGATTTCCCCTAGGCTGCCTTTCTGGAGAAATCTTTAATTTTGATTGTCACACTTTGTGGAGTTTATCTCAGAAAAGTAGAGCCATAAATAAGGTGCTGCTTCAGCACCCAGGCTCCAACTGTACCAGGACAGTGAGTGGCATTGGCCCAGGTGGGGAGCAGGGACTGCCTGACCACAAGCACCTTCTCCCCCTGCACCTTCCTCTTCCCTCCCCCTCCAGCCCCATCTACTCTCAGTGCAGTGCCTGGCTTCTCACAGCCTGATTTCACAGGTCAGCAACCTTTAATTACCCGGGCCTGTCCCCACCCCTCCCACCAAATGAATCGCAGGTTCATGAAAATCTCATTAACCACAATACCACAGCTGGGTTCCCGTGCTGGCACTGGAGCCCTCCGGCTCCTGCCGTGCTGTGGGCTCAGCCCGTGCTGTGCCCTGGCATCCAGCACACCACGGGACCCCAGCACCGAGCACGCAGGGGTCCTGGCCAGGAGCTGTGCCAGGCTCTCAGGGTGGGAAGGTGGAGAGGGAGGGCACAGGCTCTGTTTTGCTCCGTGCTTACACCTTCACAGCCCCAACTCAGCTGGTCACGGTGCTGTGGGGCTGGAATGGGTGTCATGGGCAGAATGGGGAGGTGGAAGCTCCCAGGGCTTCCCCAGCACCTCCAGGGAACAACAGACAGCCGTGATAAGGAGGCTGTCCTCTCCCTCCTGGGGCCTGGGGAGGACATCTCCCAGCAGCTTTTGAGCAATTAAGTAGTGGGAAGGGATTCAGGCAGCTCCCTTCAGCACGGAGCCGGCACAGCAGTGCCGGGTGAGCTCAGGAAAGGTTACACCATTTGCATTTTACCCTTCAGTAATTCCAACACTTACGGGTGCAATTAAGCAGCAGCCTGGTGTTATGAAGCTATCAGGGCGGAGAGACCTGAATCCCAAGGAACTCCGTGTGCGTGCCTGTCCCAGGCTGTCCCATCTGTCTGCGGTGACACTGCCACGGTGCCAGCGGGTCGCAGGGACGGGCTGTGATTCCAGCTGATGCCCATTGTTCCCTTCCCAGCACTCAGGTTCGACACTCTGGGAGGGTGAGCACAGGGAGGGGAGTGAGTGTTGGGATGGTGGAGCAGGTCCAGGCTTGTGCCATACTTGTCATTACAGCAAAGCACCTGATCTGTTGGTGCCCTCCAAAGAACAGCCCCTGGCCTGCTTTGTTCTGTGTGTGACCCCCTGATGGGGCAGGGCTGGATGGACCATGATGTCTGTCCCAGTGCCAGTGGCACATCTCACCCATGGAATAGGGTCTCCTCAATGTTTGGTGGCCCCTACCCTCTGTGGGAGGACAGGGACTCTGTGGCCATTCTCCTTCCCTGCTTCAGTGGGACAGCAGGCTGGGAGAACTGCTGCCTTTCCCTTTAAGCATCATCCGAGCTTAATTCAATGGTTTTGAGTCCCGGCTCATGATTTCTGCAGCAATTTGGGCTGAGATTTCTCTCTTTCCCTCCATTATCCACTCTGATTAACTCAGCTGGCCCTGTCAGCTCCCATTCCGGCGCGGGAGCCCTGTGAGAGCCTGTTAAAATGCATGAGCCTGTGGCAGCCGCTCCGCTGCCCAGCCAGGCTGAACCGAGGCAGGGGGCTGCAGGCAGCAGGGCCGTGGGGAGCTGGGGGCTGTGGGGGTCCAGGGATGGGGTGCAGGTGCTGTGGGAGTCCCCCTCTGTCAGCATGGGGGTGTCCTGGCCAGAGCTGAGCTGGGGGGACCCTGTGGGGTGCAGGACGCAGTCACCCCCACATGCCAGGCTGTTGGGTGGCTGAATCTTCCCCCATGCAAAGGCTCGTTTCCCATTCCAGCTCTGACTTGTTCCCTTTTTCTCATTTTAATAAAGACGAAAGCATCCGGAAACGCGGCTGCACCCGCCAAAGAGCGAGATCTGACATAATTAAAAAGTGGCTTCAATCAGGCTGTTTTCCTAATGGTTTGTCATATCAGCCCGCACGGCCCTGCACCCCCTGTGCTCCCAACCCCCTGAGGCATCATTTACATTTCTTAATAACCCCTCATTAATATTCATGACGTGGGGAGGGTAATAACGGCTGAGTGCACACCACTAATTCAATTTCAGCGAGCCTCAGTGTGTTTAGTTAATCACTGGGGGACCTGGGTTACTCAGTACAATTATTTATTCGGAATTAGATCTTGAGGCATCTGGGTTGAAACCTGAACTCGGAATAAAATTAAACCAGGATTCTCCTCCTCTCCTCCTCCTCCTCCCACCCATGGTTCTGAGCATCCCCTGCAGCCCTGCTTTGCTGGGATGAGGATTGGTGTTTCCATGCTGAGACCATTGCAGAGGCTGGGGCTTCTCCTCATCTGCAGCTGCTGCTGGGTCCTGGCTCCTCTGTGCCCATCCAGGGAAAAGTGTCAGGAGAGGCCTGGGGACATGGCCAGCCCCGAGGGTGGCACCCCATCCCCTGTGGCAGGTGGGTGCCTGGGAAGAGGAAGCCAGGAGTCCTTGTCCTCCTGACCAAGCCAAGTCCCAGGGTTTGCTCCAGCCTATCCAGAGCCTTCAGCCCCTCACCCAGCTTTGCTGCACATTCCACCCGGGAGAGGCTGCTGCCAGCCCCATGCAGCACCAGGGCAGCTGCTGTCTCCATCCTTCTTTGATTTCCTTGAGAGCTTTTTTAATACTTTGACTTTGCTCCTGGTTTCGCTTTTTAATTCAGTGTTTTGTCCCTGTGCTCCAACTCACCTTATTGGATAAAAATTCTGTTATTGCATCCTGCCCCGTAGGACTGGATGAGAGTTGGGCTTCCCAGGCAGCAGTGCGGTGCCTCGGTTCCTCAAATTCCTGCTTTTGTTTTTTTGAGTGTTCCCCCTGGCCTTTCAGTCCTGTCAGGGAGGCGAGTTGAACATTTTCTACCCCTTTCTTTGACAAGAAGCTCGAGGCAAAGGTGCTGGCCTCGCTGTGCTCAGCTTGGGGCTCTTGTCCCTGGTGGTTTTTGCCTTCCCCAGATCCTCCCGAGCTGTTCAGTCAGAGGAATGAGGTGGAGGGGAAGCCTGGGGGCAGGAGCAGCTCAGCATACTCCGTGTGTCTGTGGGTGTTCCGTGTGTCTGTTCTGTGTCTGTGCTACACCTGCCTGTTGTGCTTGTCCCTGCGTGGGGGTCGAGCTTCCCAGGCGCTGAATCCCGCTCCCAGTCTGTGCCAGTGCCCCTCCAGTGCCTGCAAATGTGGAGGTTTCACAGCTGGGGAATTATCTGAACACTCAATACCCCAAAGCCAGACGAGCTAATAATTATCTTCTATTTATCTCATCTTTAACATGCAGATTTGTTGAGTTAATTTTGCCATGACCAATCTCCTATATTTTCTCGAAACAATGGGGGATGTGAGGGACTCCTTCAAAAACATTATATATTTTTTTAATTTTCTGTGATTTCTCAAACCAGCCTCCTGCTGAGATAACTGCGCAATAGCTGTGATCATTATGAAAAATTATTTTAGCTCAAAACTCTTTTTTTTAAAGCACAGTCGAAATAAATTCAGTACGATTTCGGCCGAGTTGACTCTCTCCTAATTATTCTTATTTGTTAAATTGAGAAATGCCTCGGCCTGCCTGGGGTTCTGCATCTTGTGGAATTACAGAGCCGTTTGTCAGCACTCAGCAAGCAGCGGGGCCGTCACGGCGCTGCTGCGGCGCTCGGTGCCCGGTTACTGGCGCGTGTTCAAGGTGACAGCGCTTAATGACGGCGGCAATAAACAGAAATGTGCTGTCAATATCGCTGCCGGCAGCCGCCCGCATTCCGAGCGGGCAGCGCCCGGGGAGGCTGTGGACAGAGCGTGTCACGGGAAATGGCCGATGCCCGCTGAGGGGCACCGGCTGAGGGGGCGCTGCCGGGTGCCGCTCCCCCGGGGCACAGCGGGGCCGGCACCGCCCGCGGCACCGCTGCGAGGGGCACGGCGGGCCCTCCCGTCTCCGGGCGTGCCTCGGGTCTCGTCCCCTCCCTGCCCTGCACGTATGGCACCGGGGACAGGCGGGATGTCCCCGAGCCGTGAGGGCCGGGGGTGGCCCCGCTCCGGTTCGCGACAGCCCCGCGCTGCTTTGCGGCAGTGTGGCCCCTCGCCTCTCTCTTCCTGCAGGGCTCCCCTCGCCTCGCTTTACGGCAGCGTGGCCCCCTCGCCTCTCCCTTTCCGGCACGGCCCCCCCGCCTCGCTTTCCGGCAGTGTGGCGCCCCGCCGCTCTGGCCTGCGCTGCCTGCCTTACGGCAGGTGTCGCGCGGCCCCGGTGGTTTGCGACAGGTTCCCGGTGGCGGGGCCCGGTGGGCGCGATGGACGTGGGGGAGCTGCTCAGCTACCAGGTGAGCTCGGGAGCCTGGGCCGTGCTGGCCGTGTCGCGGCCCCCGCGCTCCGGCCCCAGCGCGGAGGTGACCTCGGCCGTGGCAGCGATGCTGCTGCGGCCCCGGTGCGGCCGCGGGCCTGGGGCGGCCGCCGTGCGGGGCCCACCGCCGCGCTCGGTGCGCTCGCTCGGGGTCTGGTTAAAGTGCCGCTGAGTTCTGGGGTCTCTCCCGTTTGCCGGCGCGGCGGTGCCCGGTGGGACCCGGTTAGCGGGGCTCCGCGGCTTGGCCGGTGGATGGGCAGAGTGGAGCCCCGGGCTGCAGCGGGGCCGGGGCTCGCTCCGGGGCCGCTCCAGCGTGTGCTTTTCTCCCTGCCTTATGGCAAAACCCATTTAATTTAATTTTTATCAAAATATGTTTTTAGAAGTTTTCTTTATCAAAGTTTTCCTTTGCTCGGAGCGTTCTCTTGCCTTGCCCTGCGGTCGCTGTGTGCAGGCATCGAGCGTTGATTTATTGTCCCAGGAGCAGAGTTCAGGCGTTCCCCGTGAAACCGGGAATGAGGGCATAAACTGCAGGAACACTTGGAAACCTCGGCTGGGATAATGCCGAGCTTTGCTCCGCTCCTCAGCCCGGCTGCAGCCGTGGGCTTTCCCTGGGTGGGGAAACCACCCCGAGGCGTTTTCAGCCTGTCAGTGTGGCCAGCTCTGCTCCGAGCTGAGAGCACAGAGTTCCTGCTGTGCCTCATTCCGTGGGCACACAGGTCAGGAGGGTGTCTTGCTGTTCACTCCATCTTTGTGCCTTGGGAATGTGGTGTTTGGAGATGCTCGGGTAAAAATGGGAAGTTGCTGTTGGGTTTGAAAAGTTTCTCAGCAGTTTTCCCAATGGTATTGAAGTTTCTGGGGCAGTTTGTCTTTGAGAGCTCCACTGGATTATTCCTTGATAATCTCCAGGATGTTTCCCTTTGTGAATTGCTCTGTCTCAAACATCCTTCCACATCCTGCTGCATCCAACAGCACAGCCCTGCTGGTCTCAGATCTACTCCACTTCTGTATTTCTCTGTCTTTTTCAAATGTGGTTTCTCAACATCAAATTAGAATTCTCCTTTCTTACATTCCTATGATTCTTTGGCCTTTTCCTCCCCATCTGGGGGTCAGCAATGTCATCCCTTACATGCCTGGGATGCAGGTTAAGGCACAGAGAGGTAAACCTGAATGAACTTTGTCATTTTTTAACCAAGTTCCAGTTTGGAGTTTTGTTGGTTGGTTTTTCTCTTGCCCTCAGAATGTGAACTCCCCAGGATTCCCTCCACTCTGGGGGGAAGTGTCCATGCTCTTTGCTTGGCTCACTTGGATTTTGTGCAGCTTTCCCTTGGATGAGCTCTCAGCACAGTGAGGGGGTGATTGCTTGTGGCAGTGGGGGCTCTGTTCTGTCGAGGTAAAGAAGTGCTGCTTAGCTGCAGGGTATCTACATTTTAATTCCATTTCTTGCTGCTAAAATTGTTCTTAGCTGTGGGGAAAAGCATTTTCCAGCTTTCAACCAACTGCTGAAATAGTTCCTGGAGGATTTGTCCTGGCTCTGTGCTCTCCTGGGCTCTCAGCTGAATGCAGGTGGTTCTTGTGGCACTAGCTGAGGTGATGCTTTGGTGAGCATGGGAAGTCAGTGCTGCTGAGTTCAGCCCTCCAGGACTGGGAACAATGTGAGTACAGCTGAAAGAAGTGCAGGAGCAGAAGGCAGGCAAATAGCTCTGGTTCTGAGAAAGAGATTCCCTTCTGTGAGGGCATTTCCTGCTGAGAGGGGGGGAAAATAGTTGGAAACAGCAGATTTCACTGCCTCCCATCCTGTGGGTCAGGCTCTGCCTGCAGGGAGGGTGGCTTGAAGAAGGTGGCCAGGAGAGGGTGCCTTGGCAGCTCCCCCAGCAGCTCCTGGCCTGCTCCAGCCCTGGGTTTGGGAGCTTCCCTGCTCTGGGCTGGGCTGTGGGCTGGCTCAAGGTCTCCTTGCTTGTCCTCTTGCAGGGATGGTACCGGCTGTCGGGGAGGTGGTGTGGTGCCTCAGCTCTCTGATTTTAATCTCTTGCTGCAAATGAGTTGGTCTTCTCAACCTCCCTCAGCACAACCCAAAATAATTGCTTTCCTCTTCCACTGTTTTGAATTTTCTCCTCTAAATGTGTAATCTGTGCCCTTGCTTCGGCAAGGAGATGTTCTCCCTCAGAGCCAAACTTGGCGTGGAACACTGCAGGCACCGTGCCACCAATTCAGCACCAAGTGTCTGCCAGAACGGGAAAAGAAACCTCATGCAACAAAAAATACAATTAAACAGCACCTGGCCGTTTATACAAAGCTCAGGAATCCATAAACTTTACGTGTTGCTGCAAAACAGTTGCAGATGGTCTAAAGTGATGATTAAATATTGCTGCTGTTTGCCCAGATCCTCCGTGTTTGGTCTCTGATTACAGAGGGTAATTAAGAGGACAAAGCCAACTCCGGGGCTATTCAGAGTCTTCTTTCAGTTGTCTTGGGAAGGAATAAGGGAGATTATTTGAATTCTCATTAAGGGCAGATTTCATCACTGTGAGTGATCATTGCAAAGCACTGACTGTCAGTAAAATCAAGCAGCAGAAGCAGCAGTAGCTGATGGGGTGAGATCTCCCCGTGGTCTGTTGGGGTTCAGTGCAGCGTGTGCAGGGATGGATCTCTGTGGATCCACCATCATAATTTCTGCTGCTGGTACGGATAATTTGCTGTCAATTTGCAATGTAGTGGATGCAGCTGATGGTAGGGGCAGCTCAGCTGAGCTGGCTGTTGACTTCTTACAGCATTATTGCCCCAGTAGCTCCTGCTCATCAGTTAAAAGGAGCTGACATTGGCTCAGCTGTCTGCCTCATCCCTTGGCTCTGCTCTTGGGAGTGCAGCCCCATGCTGCTAGAGCTGGCTTGGTGCTCTCACAGGGTGGCAGATGAATCTCTAGTTTACTTCCCAATGTATTGTCTTTAACCACCAAACCAGGGGGTGTCAAGAAAGATCCCTGTCCTGTGCCTTCCTGATGTGTTCCTTGGGTGGCTCAGAGCCTCACTGGAGGGCACAGGATTCATTCCCTCTGAAATTAATCATCTGTATCCGTGTGGGTACAGTGTGCACCTGTCATTGCATTTGCCTCAGATTGTGTGATTTTGGAACTCTTGGGTCTCTTGAGATTTCTGATTTTCCTGGGGTGCCAGTTCTTCCAGTTTTTAGCACTCAGATCCTGCACCATTTAGAAGTGCTGTGTGTCATGCCTCAGGAAGAAAAAGCACAGGAAAGTGAGATTGATAGTAGCCTGGTTTATCACAAATGTTGGAAACAAAATTAGGAAGTCATTGAAGATTCCTCTGGAGATCAGGATCCCAAACTGACAGCTGCTGTGCTGCTTTCTGAGTGGCTCTTTGGAGCAGGCTGGGATGTGGGCACAGAAGCTGCATCATTTATGAAGATTTATTTCAGATTTCATTAACAAAAAATTCCTAAGCTTCACAGTAATGAGGTTACTTACAAAACAGATACCTTAGTAATATGAAACTCCTGAGTATTTCCTGAGTAATATGAAACTACTGAGACCTCTCTAAACCTTCCTTATGTTTGGCAAAGGCTGAAGCAATCAGGATTCTGAGAAATGTGTGTTCTGATTCTGTGGTGTACTTAACCTTGATATTAATGTGCAATCACTGCTTGGAGGGAGCCCAGGGGCGCTGGCAGATTATTGTGCTTTGATTTAGGACGTTGTTTCCCTGTTCCTTGTGGCACACGTGGCTGATGCTGCTCCTGCTGCCCACACTGAGGTCATGCTTGGCCTTCCCTGGCTGTGCACAGACCAGGATCTGTGTCAGGTGTGTCTGGGGAAAGTCTGTACCCAAAGGCTGGGCCCCAGGGAGTGTCTGCCAGCTAACAGACACAACCAGTACAGGAGGATTACAAGAGAAAGGGAAAGATAATTCTCCCGTTCCCAATTACCAGCTTCTGTTTACTTTATCATATTTTATAAACAGTAGCTTTTTTTAAACCCTTTTGTATTCATTGGTTTTTGTGTGGTGCTATCAGTGTTAGATTTAAATGAAAATGCCTGCTGAATAAATTACTGTGAATGCCCTGCATTCATCAGGAACAGAATTAAGCTTAGCTAACATAACAATTGAAAAATGCTTTTCTTGTGCATTTTCTAATGAATTCTAACTTCTTGCCAGATTCACCTTAGCACAACTAAGTAAAAAACCCACATTTTGTTTATCAAATAAATGATTAACTTTCTCTTTTCTACCAGAAAGGCAGAACTTGTGCAGATGTCTGTGAAGCCGTGGGATTGGTTAAATAAATGTGTTTGATCACAATCTGTGTATTTGCTGAGCGAAATGCACCAGGCTCGGTGCAGCAACCTAGGAGCTTAATTCTTGCTAGTTGGTAAGAGTCCTTTGCAAAACACAAATGCAAACCCAAGATGAAAATCAATGAACAGAAAGTAATGCCTGCCTTAAATCAGTTGTTCATGACTGTGCATCTCTTGTGGAATGAGCAGGACCCAGGTGTTCCACTCAGGCCTTGGTTTCGTGGCTTTAATAAGTGCTGGTTGGGAACAGCAATGTTCTTAGCGAGGTTTTGCATAACATCAATAAGGAGAGGCAAAGCCTTAATGCCTGCTTAATAGCGTTTGCCCAGAATTCAATTACTGCCTATTGCCAGGCTGCTGGCAGCGTTAATGATCGCACGCGGGGCACTTCCATGATTTATCATAATGATTCTGCTCTGCGTTAGAGACGCCTCCCCCAGCAATGCATAAATACAAAAAAGGGTGAAATAATTGAGATGGAAGCAAGGGTGTAAATTCTGATCTTGAGGATTGTGTGCTCAGAGGAAATGGGGATGGTTTCTTGATGGAGTTTTAATTTAGGTGTTGTTCTAGGGTGCAGTCCCTTCCTATGGCACATTACTGGGCATCTGACAGACCCCCAGCTCCCTCAGCCTCTCATTGCACCTCAGGCTTGCCAGAGGCTTTGGTCCTTTTTAATGTTTAGAAATAAGAGTGAGGATTGAGGTTCCAATTCCAAATTAGGAACATCCATGGCAAATCCTGTTGAGATTTAGGTGTAAATTTCAGGATTTATGTCACTAATTGCTGTATTTGTGACATTAATCTGTCAAAGATGGTTTGGGATGAGGAGGGTATTACCAAGGAGTGAATGGAAGGACATAGGAAGGGCAGAGCCCCTTGTGACATCAAGGACATTGAGTAAGGAGTATGGATTTACTGAAGTTTTTTTTTGGATGATGTAATTTAGAAAAGCATCTTTTCCTTATGCTTTTTATGGGGTTGCTGGTTGCTCAGGGAGTGTTTGAATTATTAGTTGTTGTCAATGACACATTTGTTTCCAAATGGATCTATGTGAAATTATATTTTAATGTACCTAGAAGATAAGTAATAGGAATCTGCTTAAAAAAAAAACAACCCCAATCCACAAAACCCTCCAAGCAAATAAATTTTTCATTTCACAGAATCTCTGGGTATGCTTCCACGTCATGGCTATTGAATTATGAGCTGAGTAACTGCTTTAAAAGTGCATGGAGGCACTTTAGAAGGGTTTTAAGTCAGGAATGTACCATCTGTAATGGAAATGGCAGAGAAGATATAGGGAGAAAGGAGACAGATAACAGAGCTTGAACAGGTTTGCCTGGGAGCGAGCAGATACAGCTCTGATTTGTGCTAATGTGTTGTCTGGGAAACTTGATTCTGCATCTTCCCTAAAGTGGTGACAAGCTGGTAACCCTGAGAACAAGGTGATCCCAGCCAGGCTGCTCTCTGGCCTGCTTCTTAACTATAATTAACTCCTCATGTGCTTTTTGGGGCTGCAGTGGGGGGGCTTTATTTTTTACATCTGAAGCAGCATTTTCTCTGGAGCAGATGATTTACCAGCTTGTTGTTGGTACTGGGCTGTGCCACTGGTGCAGCATGTGGCAGAGCTGGAACCACAGCTGGATTGCCTTAGGAGCCTGGAAGGTTTATTACCCTCTGCAGCCCAAAAGCTCCTAACCTGCCAGGGAGCTGGAAGTTCCCATCTTGATGCTCACACAAGTGCCAGACCTGGCGGGAGAATGACACTGTCACTTATTTCCTCTTCACCTTTCTTTGGATCAAACATGGGAAGGATCTCAGTCTTGCATAAAAGCAGGGCCTGTGTTCATGGAAGCCTGGTGTGACTTTTGCCATTTTAGACAAAGGGTCCCACAGAGCAGAGGAGTAGGGGCTGCCTGCCAGGTGCTGTTTTATAAATTAAGATGGACAGGTGTTAGACCTAATAGGTTAAAAATCACCTACCAGGTGACTTGAGCAGTGATGTAAAGTAAAAGTATTTTTGTTATTATTTCATTATTCTTGATAGATACACTTCTTTTAAATAGTAAAGAATTATGGTTTGTTTTGCTGTAGTTATAGAGCATAGAGTACTCCTGTTCCAACTTGGTTGTCCTTCAAAAATGTGAGAGACCAAATTTAATGTCCTTGTAGCTTTTGAGGGGAAAGTTTTTTCTTCTGTTGCAAATGCTTTTATCCCTTTCTGCCTGAATGAAAACATGGGATTAGGATTAATGGACTTCTTGTCCTTGGCAAATTTTATTTTGACAATCAACTAGAAATAGTGGAATAAAATAATAGGTTTTTCCATGCAAACCATGATGGTTTGGGCACTGTTTAATCCAGTGCCAAGCCCCTGCAGAGCTGCAGCAAGCAGCAGTCCTTCTTGTCTTGCCTACACTGGGTTGGGCTGATTCTGCTTTTGCTTGTCAGCAAACTTCAGACAGAAGGATGAGGGTGAAATGGGAGGCACACAGGAATTCAATGTAATCTTGTATACGTTGTGGGTAAAAAATTATCTTTCCCTGCTGTCTGCTGAGCATATCAGTCTGCTGGCTGTGAAATGTGGGGTTGTCTGAGCTGAGTCAGCAGACTGGGGTTCCTTGATGGGCAGCTGTGCCCCACTGAGCAGGGCTGTGGGGCCACTCCTTGTCTGTGCACTCCTTGTCCTTGCTGTCTATGAAGATATTTTCCCGTGAATTGTGTTCATAGATCAAAGAAGGTAGGATGTTGACACAGCTCTTGGCAGAGGCATTCATCTACTCATGTGATGTTCCACTTCACTAAATTAATTTCCTTTCCAGTTTTCAGAGTTGTTAAGTGTCGTGTAAGCAAATCTTTTCAACTTGTAAGAATTTCCTCAATATGGCTTGTAATATTGGTATTCTGGTTTGCAGGGGTCACTAAGCACTTGTATTCATTCACCTTTTACTTCTCTGACTTCAGCCTAACAGAGGGACAAAAAGACCCCGTGATGAAGAGGAAGAGGAAATCAAAGCGCGTCGGAAACAAGCCAGTGCCCGAGAGCATGGTCGTCATAGGGAAGAGGAGTCTGCTGCCCTGGAAGAAACTGATGATGAGAAGAAGAAACTCCTTCAGATAATTGAGAGGGATGGAGAAGAGGAAGATGAGGAAGTAAGTCCTCAGGGAAAGGAGAGGCAGTGGAAATAACCAAACACCAAACCCCTTCTCTGTGATTTCCATTTCTTGCCATGTAGGTGGTGAGGCTTAACGTGATTTTTCTGTGCTCATACAGCTTCAGTTTGTGGGTTTGCTTTCCTGCCCTGTGGGGTGTTCATTCATTCCAAATTCTCAAATATATCAGCTGAAGATTTAAAGTGGGGGCAAAAAGGAGAGGGCTTTCAAGTCCAATCTCTGTTTGTTCTGAGAATATCTATATCATCTTCTAAAGTATATTTTTAGGAAACAGTTTCTGTGTTCTAACCAATTTCCTGACTATTGTTCTCATCAGTACCCCCAACTCTGCAGCTTCTCCCCCTCTTTGTAGCTGTGCGGCAGCAGCAGCAAATAAACAAACATTCTTCTGTACAAGAAAGGTCTTGGGTCAGAGGAGGGGGGTGGCAGCTGTCAAGGGTAAATGATTTCAAGCCTTGGAGACAGAAATCCAATGCTGCATTGGCCTTTCTGCCAAGGGCCAGGGAAAAGATCACTTTATAAATGTGACACATGGATTGGTATAAATCTAGAAGATATTTGCTTCCTGCTGCCTGTGTCCTGTTTGATAAAAAAACAAGTGATATTCACCACTGCAGAATCATGTAGCTTTGTAAAATATCATTGTCCTTTGTATACAGCATTGCCAGCATCCGTCTTTAAGAATCTCCCTCTTTTTTTGATGTTGAGCAATTGCCATGACAGTTGTTGCTGATAGCAGAGAAAGATAATGCAGGATTTCTGTAGCATTTCAGCTCCAGGGAGGATGGATCGAGAGAAGAGTCCTCCTGACTGGCTGGAGTCTTGTGGATTCCTGCAGTGTGCCAGTCCCTCATCTTTGTCAAGTGGAATCCTCCCAGCCAGACATTTTAAAGGCTGAAAGTCCAGGCTTTCTTTAGAACTCAAATCTCTTGTTTATTTCTTTGGACTGCAGTTAATACAAGTGCCATTAAAATGTGCTTTGTCCCAGTAAATTTGCTGTGAAGAAGCTAATCTGTAGGACACTGCAATACTGAATGCAAATTCAATACAAGATATAAAGCAGATCCTAATGGAGATATCATAGTGATATGTGTTAGAGGAAGCAAAGAATCAAAGGGAACAGAAGGAAGCAGTGTCAGCATGTGTGGGTTGAAATCCCACTGCAAGAAGAATGTGCTTTGGGCACTGTGGTATTGATTGGCTGAATGGGGTGGTGACATGAGTGGGATGGCAATGAGACAGGTTGGGCAAAGGAACGGAGGAAATCCAATCGTAACTGAAGGCTGGGGCTGGTGTTGTTATTGTAATGGAGTTTCATGAAGAACTGGAGGTTTTCTGTCTCATACCACATTGCTGCTGCTTAGAGTCACTGACCAAAGAATGTGCAACACCAGCAACAGCAGCTCTTGATTTAATCCTGAGCAGGGGATGGGCACAAAACTGGGCTAAAGATGGGAGGGTGTCTGGTCTGGTTTTTGTTTTGAGAGCTTCTCTTAAATAGTGGTTGTAACACAGTCAGAGGAGAGGGAAGAGGTTACACAGGGAAATCTATATCATCAACTTTTTAATAAAAGAAATGCATTAAAATCATAAACTAAGGAAAATGTTGGTAGGTGTCAGGGAGGCAGCCAACATTGCATTGCTGCTGTACAGTAAATATAGAACTCCAGCTGAGAAACACCTTAGGAGCATTTACAAAATAAAGAGAAAATACTAGAGTAGAATATTGATTTATTTTTTTCTTTAGGAAAAGGCTTTAAGATAACAGTGAAAGCTTATCCAAGTGAGGAAAATGCAGAAGAACATAAATTCAGGGCAGTTAAATGTAGACTTACAAAAAGCAATAGCACAAGAAGGGACTTCTGCAGAGAAGCTCTCTGTGGGCACAGGCTGTGAGTGCAGGTTGGCTCTGTGTCAGAAGCAAAAAAACCTCGATATGAGCTGGTGGTGCCAGGTTACAACAGGTGTAAGAGAGCAGCTCAGGGTCTGAGCTGGAGTGGGTAGTGATGGCATCTGAGGTGTTTGGCAGCTCTCTGCAGTGAGATTCCAGAGCTGGCTGGAGTTCCCAGGGCCCTGGGCCTGGCTGCACTCCCACCACATTGCTGGTATTTCTCCAGCCATCCAAAGCTCACTTTTCTGCCTTTTCTGATTTGGTCAGGAGGAACCTTTGGATGAAAGTTCAGTGAAGAAGATGATTCTCACCTTTGAGAAGAGATCCTACAAAAACCAGGAGCTGCGGATCAAGTTTCCTGATAATCCAGAGAAGTAAGACTATACTTAACTTTTTTTCCTTTCATTTTAGGTGTAAGCCTAAATCAATTTCTGGAATATAGAGATGTTTTCAGTTACATAAGGCTTATGTAACTGCAGTTATTGCCTTGTAGTTCTTCTAAATATTATTTGAAATTGACTTTGTTAATTAAAAATGGCTTTGTTGAGACTGGTGGGGCCAATATATTGCTGGCAGCACAAAAACCATTATCAGCAATAATGAAAGGTTTCATTCCATCATTTGATGTGAAGGTGTGTGCTTGCATACCAGCCAGAGGTCTGTGTGGGGAGGAAATAATTTCATTTACCCAATGCTGCGGTGAGCAGAATGGCTGGATAGGCTCTGAGAGCCAGATGTGTGTTTGTGTTCTTGAAGCCTCTTCCTCCCTTCATGGTGTTCTATTATTCACATTAAAGGGATTTCTTCCTACAGTTTAATATACTTTTTTTTTTGTCCAGTTTGCTGTCCTTTCCCTTACCCAGATTATTTTTATGGACTTCAGACTCATACAACCCACATACTAATATGTGCTAGCTAGGGAAGGTGCAGCGCTCTGCAGAATTTATTTTATAAGCAGGTTTTCTCATGTAGCTGCAGCATCTTGATTTTAATTTCTTCTTGAAATTCTAGAACTGATTTACAAAATTGGAACAAATCTGCTTATTTACTCTATGTAAATTATACAGTAGAAATGTTTATGCTGCTACAGGATTAGACTTCAAGGGGCAGGTGTAGGACAGGGAGGATAGAAATGCTGGTGCCATGTGCACCTGGGATGACAAGTCCTATGTGCTATCTCCTGGAAGGTAGTGGTCTCTTCTTGCCTTTTTGTTACTCTTTTTTGTCTTGCCTCAGGTTTATGGAGTCAGAACTGGATTTGAATGACATCATTCAGGAAATGCACGTGATCGCGACGATGCCAGGCCTGTATCACCTGCTGGTGGAGCTGAACGCTGTGCAGTCTCTGCTTGGGCTGCTGGGACATGACAACACAGATATCCTTCAGCTGTTAAAGCAGCTCTCATGGGAAAGGCTTTCCACAGACTTTTCTGTAATCTCTCATATCCTCTTTCCCAGGCTCCTGTAGATGTTTTTCTCCTCTTCGCACCACACTGAATTTATGTGTTGGTTTTTCATTTTTTTCCCAGTGAAAGCCTTCTTTGTTCAAGTGGTATTGATTCTGATTTTTTTTCAGTGCTGTTATTCTCCTTTCTTGTTTTATGATCCTTTCATCTAGTTTTGAGTGGCAGTGTTAAGAGTGTGAGCAGATGAGCAGCACAGAAGTGAAGGCCTGGACTTCACAATGATAATCTCAGACTGTGCAAATTTTGGAATAGCCCCAATGAAAAGGAAACCGTTTTACCCCTTCTTGCTGAGAGCTGAGCTGTCAGGCTGTCAGCTGTTTGTCATGGATTAGCTCACCACATGCTTCACCTTAGTTTGTAAATGTGTCCTCTTCATGTGCCCATGCCTTTGGTGTGCACAGAGCTCGAGGCTGTGGGTGGCCCCTCTGGTTAAGCACATATCCAGAGACAATTCCATTTCCATGCTCAGTGAGGTCCAGTGGCACTGACCCTGATCCATCTGTGCACCTGGCTCTTGTACCTCTGGAGATCTGAGGGCATCTGAGGAAGAGCTTCCTGTTTATGTAGTGTTGATCAAAAACAGTGCCATTTTTTGGGTATCCTGGTGCCTTGATGCTTAGCTGTCAGCTGGGAACTGGCACTATGCCCAGCTCGCCACTGTGCAGTCTGTAAAAGCAGACCTCAGACCGCTTTGCTTGTAAAATACTCCACAGCAGATTGAGCTGAAAAATTGTTACATGACTTGGGAGATTGCATGTGTGTGTCCTGAAAATATCTGTGGGTGGAGGGAGCAGTGAAGCCCTGTGGAAAGGGCACTGCACATTGACTTGGGACTCAGGCAGTCCTTTTTCCATTTTTATTGATCCATGGCCTTAGGAAGGTAATTTATTCTTTGCTTCTTTATGTGTAAAGCAGGAGATAACACTTACGAGCTTTCCTGAGGTGTTTTGGAATATACAATGTGAAAAGGCCTGTTAGTGCTGCATGTTGTGGTTTGATGCACAGATCTTGGTTTTCTTTTTTAGCACTTTTCTTTATAGCACCATCTATTGAGAATTCATAATTCATTCTTTCTAAGTGGGTGCAGTGATCAGAAGCTAAAACCAAAACATAAATATTTTATTGCATGCCAGTTTATATTAGCGAGCACTGTGTTTGGGTATTTTGACTTGCATCAGGTAGAACCTTGATGTGATGAATGCTGGTCCCTGCAAAACAGTAAAGCCCACAGCTTCCCTTATCCAAGATCTGCAAGGAAATGGCTCTCAAATAACTGTTAACAATTTATGTTGTACAGGGGGAAGCTCCTCCCATGCAAATCCAATTTCGTGGTTACTGTAGTTTAATTATTTATTTTATACCAGACATCACAGACTTGTTTGTACTATGTGCTTTTATACTGAATTTCTCATTCATGGTGGGAAAAAGGAACTCTGGGAATATTGACTGGGATAGCAGAGCTGTTTTCCAGATAAAGTGCACCAGAGCACAGCTTGCTTTGTCCTGTCTGCCGTGGAAAGCTTTGTGCTTGGCTCACTGCTGCTGTCAAAGACTTGTCTGGGTTTCCAGTGTGAACTCTTTTTATTTGGTTTGCAACTTGCCTATCAATGAGTTTGTGGGTAGGAGTTTGGCCTGAGAACTGCAATTTTGGGGAAAGTATATTTCTTGTTGTAAAACTGCTGAAGTGTTTTGCGCTCCACTGGAAGCAGAGACTGCTGCTGCTCGCATACAGGGCAGAAGCACTGTTAAGATGAAGCATCTAGACATAAAGCTGAATTGGTACAGCTCAGATTTCTAATGACATTTTGTTAAAACAAATGGGAAAATATTTTTTAAAATGAGTTCTTCAAGGAGAGAAAGAAACAAATGGTTCTTCAGATGCAATTTAATTGTGGTGTCTTGAGGGACTAATGCAAGGAGACAAAAGCAATGTCCAGGGGGAGCAAATAATCTGCTGAATGATTCATACAGTTTTACACAAAACATTTGAATGAAAGATGATCACCAAGATTTTATTAATGAAAGACATGAAAGCTTCAAGTGAGGCTTTGCTTTACCATCTCCTAAATTTTATAGGATAGCTGATACTCTCACTGCAAGCCCCAACAGAAGCTTCCCAGACAGGAATGCCCTGTGTGATGAGCTCTGCTGAATTCTTTGCTGTGCACTCCAAAAGAACTTGGTCCAGTTATCTTTGTAGCACCCAGGAGACAGCAGAAATCTTCAACTGATTCCTCCCTGAACTTTCTCTTCCATGAGCTGATGAGCCTCCATTACCTCAATTTGTCCTCATCCATCCTGTATTAACCCCCAGACCACCTCAGTGGTCCTCTGCTCTCCCAAGCCCAGTATGTCAAGGCCTCTCTTTTATTGGGAGAGCCCACAACTGAACAAAATATTGTACAAGTTGCTCCATGAGGGCCAAGGAGAAGATAAGAATTCCTTCTGTTGACTTGCTGGTTTTGCTCTTGCTGGTTCAGTGCAGTGTGTGATTAGCCTTTGTCACTGCAGTGGCACTCTGCTGAGGTGACACTTGGCAGAAGTGACATGCTGGTTACTCTCCTGCAGCTTGTCCAGCAGAAGGTCCAGGCTCTGTCTTGCAGAGCTCACCTCTCCAGCCAGCCCCAGCACATGGCTGAACCTCACTAAGAAAAGACAGATGAAAATACTTTTCCTGTTGCTGCTTGTGTGTCTGAGCAAATGCACAAATAGGAGACCTGGGAGCTGCTTTGTCAGCCCGGGCACTTGAGAGAGATCCATCACAGAGTGGTTATTTAGGACATTCAGAAAACCACGTCTCCTGCTCTGCCCTTGGGACGCAGGCAGGATTGATCAGTGTGTCTGAGAGAATAGGGAAGTGGGTCTAATGAGCTGGAATACGTCTTGTCTTACAAGGGAGCTGTGCAGCAGGCAGGGGAGCTGTGTGTTATGCAGCCCAGAGTTAATGAGTGAAAATTGGGCTGGCAGAAGCTCTGCTGTTCCTGCGAGAGCTGCAGTTTGAGGAGTGTGCTGCCCTAATTGGGCTGGGCAGAGGGGGGTGATGCTCCTGCTGCCGGCAGTGCCCTCGTTAGGTGTGTGTGTATCAGGTTAGCAGGGCTATCACTGAGAGAAGAATACCCAAATCACATTATTATAACTCATTTCGCTTGTGTTCAGTCTTGACAATGCAAGATGGTGCCTCCTTAGACCAACTCCAGAGTGTTTGATATGAACAAAATAAGTAACTATCAAGAAGAAACAGTAAAATTGCCTGATACAGTAAAAACAGAATCACATTTGTTTTTATCATTCCTAATTGTTCAGATTCCCTAATTTTAGCACTTCTGGGGAAGGTCTGCTGCAGTAGTCTGTGTGCTCTTGTGGCTGGTATCTGTGCCCTGCTGCTGTGATTGTAATGCATTTTATCACCTCACTGGTAATGTATTGCCAGTTGCTTTGGGGTCATGTCATGAACACACTGGCCTAAGAGCCATCTGCTATTGATACTAAATGCATTTGCCTCTCTGTTGGTTGTCCTTAACACCCAGCACATGTTTCCATAGCTGTGGTTGACTTGCTGCAAGAGCTGACTGATATTGATACTCTCCATGAGAGTGAAGAAGGAGCTGAAGTCCTCATAGATGCTCTTGTAAGTAGAAAACCCCAGATTATTTCAGTGCCTCAACATCTGCCTCAGCCCAGCAATGAACACTGACCCATCCTACTGTCTGCAGCTGTGTCTGGGTGTTTTTGCTGCCAGCATTGTGATGGAGATAGCCAGGAGAAGCCTGTTCTGAACCTGAGACCCTGATGGCTGCTTTTGATGAAATGCTAGAGTTTGGGGAGTGGGTGGTTGCACTATTTGCACGTTGTTGCACCACTTCTTTTTTTGGAAGGAACACTCTCATATTGCAAAATTTGTGTGAGCTGGGAGATTTTTGGTGCAGGGAGGGAGAACAAAGTAATAATATTTGTGACTTGGACAGTGTCCCATTGAAAATGGGAGCTTTGTTTGCATTTCCCTTCTCTCCTGTGAAAAAGTGTGACCTGGGTTCACTGATGGAGAACTGAAGTTTTTTGCCCAAAGGACAGTGATGCCCCTGTGATCTTACAGTCTCACCTCTTGCACAGGAGACTGGGTGTCTTCACCCAATAATTCTTGTTTCAAGCCCCAAAATCTGGGCTTGAACTGGGGCATCTGTCGGTGACGGTGGGATTTTTTTCTTAACAAGAAGTAAAAACTTGAAATTTTTCATGTAGCAGAACAAATTAACTTTAAGGATAGAGGAGGGTACAGAGGTAAGGATCCCTTTTGGCACAGAGAGTGAACCAACCCAGAAAATTACCTAGATGGGTAGCAGATGTATTGGTTGGTGTTAAGTGTTCCTTGCACAGTTAACTAACTCTCTGAGTGCCTCTTGGCCTCTGTGGGGGTGGATTTCCCCTTTTCCTGCTGTTTGTGCTGGATGCCTCCTGCTCCCCAGCTGCAGAAGGGGAGTACAAACCCTCCAGAGAGGTGATGCCCAGCCAAACATGAGTTTTACAGGTGTGTCCTACCGTGAAGCTGGTGAATTGCTGCCTTTGAACATCACTATGGCTGTGTCTGTGTCTGGTTCTGTAACTATTGTGTTGAATTTGGAAGACAGGAAATTACAGTTTTTCTTTTGTTTGCTTTGTTTGGCTGCTCTGTTTTCTCCTACAATCCTTGTCCAGTCACTATGATGTTACCTTCCAGAGGTTAATGACAGTGCCCAGAGCCCAGTTCCTCCAGCTGGCCTCTGGACTGTTGTTAATTACTCTGCCGTGGTGGGGAGATTGCTGGGTGAAGGAAATGGGAGGAAGGAGCTGCTAGAGAAGATGTTTTCTATAAAATATGTGGAGAGGTAGTAAATCAAGTGAAGTTCTTTCTGTTTTCATTGTCACTAGCCCACTGATAATAGCCATGTTTAGAGGTTTCATTGTCCTGCTTGAAAGAAACAGGTCAGGCCTATCTTGGGAGAAATGTTTAGATATCTGCTTTTTAGATTACTTTTTTTTAAAAGAAAGTAGGTAAAAGATTGTAGGGTATCTGAAGATTGTTACATTGTTTTCTGCAGCAGCCCATATATGTTTTTTGCACATATTTGCTGTGCTTTATAGGGCCCAAAGCTGGTTAAGAGTGTTTGAATTTGTAATGCTATTTTGTTTAACTGTTCCAAGCTCACATCCACAATGGAAGGTTTGCCAGAGTCAAGCTGGCACTCTTTCCAATTCCAGTTTTAAAGGTGTATTTTGGGTGTAAGCTCTGTGATTCAGGGACTCCCCCCTGCCTCTCCAGTTTTCCTTAACTCACTGAAATCGACTTGGTGCATTCATCTTGAGAGGATTTAACTGCAGGACTTCAGCTGGTGACAGTTCAGCTCTTGGGTTTGGATCTGTGTGTGAGCATTGTTCTGTCAGCTTTTGTTCCTGTTAGGTGGAAGGTCCAGCAGCAATGTAGGCAGGCAGCAGTGACCAGCTGGGAGTGCAGCTGCTCACAGAGCTGACAGTTCTCCCATCCACAGTGGCTTGTGAGCCTCATGCTTCAGAATTCTGAGGGATTATAAATGAGTCAGGCTGGTTCAGGAAATAAGACTGTGACAAGGTGCATGTTTTCCTCCTGATGGTTTTCTGTTTAATCTGAAACACAAAAGTTGTTTCATTAATTAGGAAAAGCACAGTGACAGATTTGCATGATGATTCCTTCACTTCCTCTGAGATTTTACAGCAGGGTTGTTTGTGTCTCTGGTCATGTCTGGCAGGGTATTTCCTTCATATTCTTTTCATTCTTGTTTCTTATCTCTTTATCTTTTCCATGACCCCGGGGGTTTAGGTGGAGGGCCAGGTCGTGGCCTTGCTGGTCCAGAATTTAGAGCGCCTGGATGAAAGTGTGAAAGAGGAGGCTGATGGTGTCCACAACACCCTGGGTAAGTGGCTGCTGCACAGCCCCTTGCTTTTTTCTATGCTTTGTACCAAGGGGTGTGAATTATCCCTTCCTTTCCACCCTCTTATTTTTCTCTTGGACTGCCAGCAGTGCAGCACAGGATCTGGTGCAGCTTTTATTCAAGCACAGCTTGGAATCACTTGTCCTTGGAGCCAGAGTTTGTCCTTTGTCCCATGGCTGCATCATGAAAGGTGCCTCTTCCCAAACCAGCTGTGTTGGGAGGTGCAGATATATGTATGGCTCACTGCACTGCACCAGAGGCAGTCACAGAACTGTTTGTGTTGGTAAAGCTCTCTAAGATCACTGAGTCCAGCTACTAACCCAGCACTGCCAAGGCCACCACTAAACCATGTCCCAAAGTGCTACATCTACACAGCTTTTAAAAACCTCCAGGAAAGTGCTCCACTGTCCATGTATTTACTATGAACATATCTGTGAGCTTGTTTGTGTCTTAACAATATATTTAACTTTCAGGTAGTGAAACATTTGCAATTCATGGAAGGACATAACTGCCCCTCTGCTGCTTGATCTTTGCACAGCACTGAACCATTGCAGGGTGGTGCCACTGTGGCAATCACACCATCACCCACTCCTTGCAGTCCTTTGGGATAGTAATCTCCCAGGACTGCAAGAATGAGAGAGATAGGAAACAAGAGATTTGTAATTTCTGATGGAGAAAACCATCTTTTTTCTGTGTTTCTTGCCAGGAATCGTGGAGAACATGGCAGAGTTCAGGCCGGAGATGTGCACAGAGGCTGCACAGCAGGGCCTCATGCAGTGGCTGCTCAAGAGGCTGAAGGTGAGCTGGTTTCTCTCTTTCTACAGACCAGTTAGCACAAAAACTAGGTTAAGAAAAGCCAGTTGTGCTTGTGTGTGTTGTAAAAGCCCAGTTAAGGACAAAAAGTTATAGTTCAGGGTCTATGTCCTCAGCAGTTTTAATTTTTAGGTTTTGTCTTTATAAATGTCCTTCAGTAGAAATTGTCTCTTTTATCTTTTCATATTATTCATGTGTGTTGAATTTTCATGTGTGGGATCTGTAGGACTATGAAAGCTGACCAGTGAGAGGGGACACCAATATTAACCATTTAATGGTTTTTGCTTCCCACATTTTTAACAATTTTTGAGTTTTAAGTGATGTTTGTGTTTAAATGCTGCTGGGGGCAGCTTTTGCTTTGAACTCAGCTAATTGCCTTTTAAATTAAAATCTGGTTTTCATACACTGCATCCTTTGAGAGCGAGTTGCACACTTTAACTCTGTCTTGTGTGAAAAAATGCCTAAACATTCACTGGAAAATGCTGTAGAAAAAGAATGGATAGCTCAGCCCTCTCACAGAAATATTAAAGGAAATATAGCAAAGAAATTCTGACTGTTCTCTAACCTGTCAGTAAGGCATTAGCACTTCCATGCTTAAATGTCTGCATGATTAGAAAGCCTCTGAATTCCAGAAATTCTCCATCAGCTGTGTAAGTGCAGGTACCCCTCTGTGCACTTCACATCCTTGTTAACAGAAGTAATCTGTAATTTCTCACTACAGGAAGTAACATAATTATGTTCTTTGCTTAAAAAGAAAAAGTGAAGTTAATTTTAGTCTTGGCAGGTATATACTGCTGCCTGCCTTGGAATTGCTGTGGCAGCTGAAAGACTGAAAAACTTGGGAAAGAAAAATAATCCCAACTAGGAGTCCCCTTCTTGGTGCCACAGAACATGATGCTCAGTGGTATTCCAAGCTTGTGCAGGATGTGTCTCTTGGGTTCTCTGGCTGTGTTAATTGCTGGATTTGGGATGTAGGATCAGGCAGGGCTTTTTCTTGGCTGTACAGGGTTGTGGGGAGCTAATGAACCCCTCTCCAGGTGCTTTGGCTCTTGGCAGTGCTTGGTCTTGAATCTCTCTCCCTGACAGATGTGTTTGGGATTAACCCAGGATCTCAGCAGCTGGGTAGAGCTGCTGTGGAATGTCTGTAGGATAAGTTTTGAGATCAGGGTTCTGTCTGAGCAGTGATGAGGACATCTGGCACACAGCACAGAGCATGACTTTCTGTTTCCTGACAGCATTTCAGGTCTTATAATTGTATTGTGACTGTCAGAACTGCATCAGAAAGCTCAGGTGGAGAGCTCAGAGCTCACTTCTGCAAACACAAGCAGGGTTTGATGATGTGTGCAGTCTTAGGAGATCAGAATGTTGTTTCCCAGGATTTGCAGGGCAGCAGTTGGTCACTCCATGGCAGAAGCTGGCAGGGCTGTACAGCACCAAGCACCCTCCCCTCTCCCTCATGGTCTGCCTGGAGGTGTCACCTGGCTGCTGTAAATGCCGTCCTCTGCAGAGTGGTTGAGGATCATTCTGCAGACTGGTTGGGGATCATTTGGAATGAAAAGCTTTGTTTAAAGTCAATACTTGGTGGTGTTTGGGATCTTCCTGCTTTCCATGTTTCCTTGTGTTGCCTGGTGCTTGCACACCATGCTTTGTTCCTTGGCAGAGGGGTGGGATGATTGGTCCAGCAACCCTGCATAGGCAGGACTGTCCGCTCTGCTGCAGGGAGTTGTGTGTTTAGGGAAAAAACTGGGTGAAAAATGCTATGTTTTAAGCCTAGGACTTCTGCTTTTTCCCTTCTTGAACAGTAGAGTATAAATAGCTGATAACTGATGATTTTTAAACTTGTTTTATTTTATTAATCTCTCAGTAAAACAGGTTGCATTATTATCTAATTGGTTAATGTTCAGTCTGTTTCTGTAGATGAAGCAGCTTTGGCAGCACACAAAAACATTGGATCCAGTTCAGAATCCACTCTAGGGATTTTTTGGGGGTTCAAATTCAGCATTTTCATTTCATTATGACTTCTTTAGCATAAAGATGATGGAGGAATATCTGAAATGGAAGTTAGGTGATTGTGCAGGCAAAACCCATCTCATGTTCTTCTGACTGTGACACTGATCCTCAGAGGAAACTCTGGCAGTTACTATTTAATGTTACTGTGTGTTGTGAAATTCCGGTTTTGCTGACAGGCACAGACTTCCAGAACAGAGAAATGCCATGCACCCAGGTAACATTGTGGAAAATATATCACAGGAAAGAGATTCTGTGTGGCAAACAACTGGAGACTGTTCTTAGGGGTTTTGAACCAACTTGGCCAAACCTACTGAAGTAGGACCATGTGAAGAATCACAGTGGACATTCTACATGTGTGCATGAACCTACATGCACCTCCCATCACCCCTGAATCAGAATTGTTACTGAGGAAAACTGCAGAATTACTGCAGATGTGTTTTATTTTATGTGCTGCTCGTACATTTGGTGATTTGATTAATGTGTTCTTCAAATCAATGAGATGCTGAGGGCCGTGCCCTGATGGGTCTCTTGTTCCTTCCCCCACAGGCTAAGATGCCTTTTGATGCCAACAAGCTGTACTGCAGTGAGGTGCTGGCGATTCTGCTCCAGAATAATGATGGTGAGCCATGCCTGCCATATCTCTGTCATTGAGGGCAGAATCCAGGCTTCTCTCAGATCACAGCAGCCCTTTTCTGCCTCCAGCTCTCCTTTGCTGGCTTAACTCTCCCCCATGTGCTCCCTCATCTCCACCCTCTCTTTCTCTGCAGCTTTTGTGCTCTGTCAAGCTGTATTGATTTTGTTTGCTGATGTATCAGTGTTAGATGGCTGTAAAATCTGACAGTTAGCTTCATTTTTCTCTCTCTTTTTCCCCCTTCCCCCCACCTCCGTCTAGACAACAGAGAATTGCTTGGGGAGCTGGATGGGATCGATGTGCTGCTTCAGCAGTTATCTGTGAGTAATTCCCACATGCCTTCTCTTCCACTGGGAGACTGCTGGGCTGGGTGGGAGGAGTGCAAAATATCCGGGGTGCTGTCCTAGCACTGCTTCATATTTGGTGAGGCACAGCCCCAAAATACCTTCCATGTGGTGTGTCATCCATGGTCAGTGAGATGAATCTCTTCTGTAAAGATGTTAATGCTGAGGTGCATTAACATTAAATTAAAGTTAAATTATTACATTATAATTTCATGGCAAGTTGGAGGTAGGCAGGGTTGGAATTGGTCCATCTTCAGCACGCTCCACTCCAAGCACAGGGCTGCCCATGTTTGAGCTGGCTGAAGGTAGTGTGTTGCTAGCTCACCTATATTTCTTCAGGCAGTGCTGCCTGCAGCACCCTCAGGTATGAATTGTGTAGGAATCTCTGGTAATCAGCTTATCCACATACTTGAGGGTGAATTTGCCCTTCCCCTTGCAGGCCCTGTGTATTATCCTTTAAATTCTGCACCAGGCTGCTGCACATTTGTGGGTGCACAGTCAGGGCAGCAAAGGGCAGCAGCTACAGAGGATGCAGCAGTGACCTCTGTGGTCACTGGCTGACACCTCTCAGGTGCTGGAGCTTTGGGTGCAAACTCTTCACGTGTGTTTTGCAACAGCACAGCCCAACATTTGGGGGTAATTTTGCTTTCTTTGTCATTCAGGTGTTTAAACGACACAATCCAAATACAGCAGAGGAGCAGGAAATGATGGAGAACCTGTTTGACTCCCTTTGCTCCTGCCTAATGCTCAGCTCCAACCGCGATCGCTTCCTCAAGGGTGAGGGTCTGCAGCTGATGAACCTGATGCTCAGGTACCTCATTAGCCTTGTGGTTTCCTTCCTGCTCTTGATGTGCCAATACATGTTCTAGCTAGATATTTGTCTGTCTTCTCTTTCTTTTTTTTCCCATCAAGTAAGTTGGACTTTCTCAAACATGGAATCTTTACTCTTTGTCTTTAGCTTTATTTCCTAAGAACTGAGGTTGCCACAGTGGCTGCTGGAAAATGGCAGATCTTTCATCTGGGTATCTGCCACAGAGAATGCTGTAGGTCAGGTAAACCCTCTAAGGATTTAAACGACCTCTGAGGGCATGAGAGGACCTTTGGATGTATCTAGGGAAAACATTTTTCTTTTTTTTCCCCATTTCAGGCTCACTGTGTTGTGTAGCCTCTGAGCTGCTGAATTTTTGTGGATGCTGATACAAAAATTACTTTTGTGAATGGGGCATAAGTTTGCATTTCTTATGCTGTGCTTTGTCACACCCTGAACCTCTGGGGCTTCTCTGCTCTCTCTCCACTTTCCCTTGCTGGGCTGGCACCGAGTTGTGTCTGCTGGGCTGTCTGGCTCCCCAGAGCTGCGGGAGGGCTCAGCAGGCTCGGTCTGGCTGTCCCCAGAGTGCCAGGCTGTGTGCTGGCTGGTTAGCAAACACCAGCCAGGAATGCTGAGCTCCTGCAGCTCAGGGCTGGGGAATGTGTGGCAGCAGGGAACTGAATAAATAACCCAACATGGATTATTCAAATAGGAACACTGGGTTTTCTTGAAGCTAATTAAGGAAAAGCTCCAAAACTAAGAACGGGAGGGAGGCCTCCCTCTGCCTGGAGTCCTAAGCTGCTAAACCAGCCTTGCAGAACTAATTAGTTGGAGTTCTTGTGCCATGTGGGTGGGATTCAGTGTTTGGATTTTTAAGAGCTTTTTACCCATTTTTTGGCTCTACTGTTTACCACTCTGCCCAGGATTCCAGCTGGAAAATTATGATGAGAGGAAAATTTCTCCTTGGCTGCATTTTGCCCCCCATAGTAGTTGCAAAGGGGTTGGGAGGGACAAACTGTTATGAATCTGCCAGCAACAGCTCTGTCTGATAGACAGAATTTCCAAGGCCTCAATCTGTGGATTCTACAGTTTGAGTGGGATTGGTAAAGTGACAGTGGAAAAAAACCAACAATTTACAGAATTTGTTTTAGAAGTTTCTATCGCTATTGTCCACAAGCATGTACTATACTGACAGCTGATTATTTTATATTTTTTATAAACTCTTCTAATGTAGTCCTTAGAAGCTCTCACAGGTGCTCAGTTTTTCTTGGACAGAGCAACTTAGGTGACCACAACCTGTTGTTGTAAATAGGGAGTGAATGTGGATAGCTGTGATCTGAAGCTGTACATCTGTATCTGCTTGATACCTTCATGATAAACAGCAGAGAGCAGACATGCCTTTCAGTTGTGATTGACCACCTTGCCCACAAACAAGGCAGAGTATTTTTCTCTCCTGTTGGTGTCCTCTGAAGGCCGGGGGCAGAGATCTGTTATTTTTTGGTTTTACTTTGGAGGTGGTTCATCACTGTACCACAGCCTGTGCAGATAGATGAAAGGACAAATAGGCAAAGTTGAAAGTGTATTGACATGATGTGAGATAGATAAGCTGGGTGAGAATGAAGATATCAGGCTTGAATCTCCATTACTGTCGTAGGGAACACAGCATTCTGTGTCTGGTGCTGCCCGATCCATCCAGCCAAGTCGTTCCATTATTGATGGTTGTGCACACACACCTGCAGAGAGCTCAGTGGCTTTCAATGAGCATTTAATGTGCTCATGATATTCCTACAGATAGGCATGAGAACAGGATGGTTTCTGTTGTACTGAGCCTTAAAATGTGTGGGCAACAGCAAAAGGCAATGCTGTATCATGTGAACTTCTCCTGGTTTGAGGGGGGTCAGTGGTAATGCCTGAAAATGAGCCCAGTGTGGCTGATGTGCTTTATGGCATGTCCATGGCCAGATGGGTCCTGGGCTTGTGCTGTGATCTGGGACTTCAGTTGGCCCTGAAGGAACTGGGGCTTCACCAAGCAGGCACATGGGAGGTGAGCAGAGGGTCTGGGAGAAGAGCAGCTTGAGAGGGATGAAGCTGGTGACAGCAGGAGTGAAGAAGGAAATTTGGAAGAAGAATGAAAGCAGGGCTATATATAGTTATTTAATTTATATCCCTACACCAAGGGAAGCTTGTTTATTTTATGTCACATCTTTATCAAAAACAATATGGTTTATCAAGGTAGCAGCCACCAGCAGAAAGCTTAGAAATGTCCCTTAGAATTAAACTAAATTTTCTTTTTAGTTCAGAAAGTACTTCTTAGTGCTCAGTCCCTCAGACTTGCCATAGTAACCTAACTGCAGTTTAGCCAAAAGAGAGGAAAAGAGGCTTGTCCTGTCAGCTCTGGTGCTCACTGACAGGCAGTTATTGCTTTGGCTGTGGAGCTCTGTGGGGTTTGAGGAGATGCAGCCGTGCCACTCCCAGGGGATGTGGCAGGGAGATTCTCTCTTGCTCAGGGAAAATGATGTGTGGCTTCCCAGCTATGAACTGAGGAGCATGTCTATGCACAGAGACAAATGCAGCCCAGGGAGCTCATGTGGACCTGCATCACCTGGGCCACAAAATGTTCTGTCCTGCAGCTATGCTGGGGCTTTTCTTGACCCTCAATAAAAGCTTTTGTCTCCTGTACAGAAAACAAGATGAAACCAGACAACTCCATATGGCTCCCCAAAGCTTTTCTGTAGCTATTTCAGGGTAGATTTTTTGATGATTATTAAAATATTTTTGTTTTCTTGTCCTGCTGTTCCTAATGACCCCTGGAAACATAAGCTGTCTCTTTACTAAATCTTCTGGTTAATTAAACGGAACCATTTTATGCACACTTTCCTAGGAAATCTAGTGTTCTGCTTTTACTGTTTTTTGGAAAGTTAAAGGCTATGTTCTGCTAATGTGGAAAGTACAAATAATGTTAGAACCCCTTTTTTATTAAATAATAGATGTATCAAAAAAGTTGTCTCAGATGTAAAGGTGTTAAAAGGAGAAAAACAATGGTTAGTGAATAAAGTTGTAATTCAGAGTTTCCATGAACATTGAGGCCCCTCTGCATTTGGTGATTCTCATGTTTGCTTGTCTGTGAATTAGTGTTCAGCTAAAAGTTCCCTCAATGAGCACAGATGAGACTAAGATAAACTGCTTGCCCTCCGGCAGAATAAATATTTCAAATAAAATCAACTCCAGACAGTCCAGGCAAGCAGCTATTGATCTCTAAAAGCCTGAACTTAAACCCAATGAATATTCCAGAGCTCAGCCCTGCACAGCCTTCCTAAATGCTGATCAATATGCAATTACTTCCCCTGAAAACATTTCTGGTGTCATCTGGCCTAAGGAGTACTTTATTTTTAGCTCTCTGCAGTGGGGATGTGGGGGTGCCAGACCTCCCTCCTGCACAGCCCTTGGTTGCTGGGGGCAGCTCAGGGTCCAGCTGCACATGCTGCCCTCCCACCACGGGGGCACAATGCCTGTGGCTGCACTGGGCCAGGCTGGGGTGTTCATTTATAGGTATTTTAGTCTGCCTGTTGTTAGGGGCTCATGGAGTTGGGTCTCTGCAGGGAAGTTGTTTTCCACAGCTCTCTAGAGGCTTTGAGGAGCCCCTGCTGATGGACATGGGGTCCTGGTGGCTGAGTCTGCAGCTGGGCAGGATCAGAGGAGATTGGTGTGTGCTTGAGGTGAAAGGGGGTGAGGCTTGTGACTGTCCTGCCCTGGAGGGAATGTCCTCCTGGGCTGGCCTTTGGGGACACTGGTGGCTTATGTTCTCCAAGCTCATGTTAGCTCCTACTGATACTCACTTGGGCTGGGCTGTATTCTGACCAGTTTTTCAGTTCAGTTTCAGTTTTCCCCTGGATGGATTATAAATTCCTCTGGTTTGGTTTGTGAGGTACAGGGCAGCTGGAGATCATTTTCAGGGCATCCCTCTTTATTGGTGTGGGTTACCACCATGAACATTCTGAATTGGCATTAAAGCAGAGCAGCCCAGAGTTCTGTCAGCCTCCTTCCATTGTGTGGTTCCTGGTGATGGGGTTTCATTAAAACTGACCCAGCTATGCTCACCCAACTTACTCTTTTATTAAATTAAACTGTGATTAGATTGAAATCCTGATCTTTTTGGAGATAGTATTTGCCTTTTGTATCCAACCCAGCTTCCCCTTCTGTTTTGTGCCAGTGTTTGTAAAGGAATGAAAAAAATACCTTCTTCAGTAGCCAAGAAATAAGAAAATAAAACCATGACAATAAAATACATAAAATGAAATAAAAACAGAAAATAAAAAGAAATAAAAGGCATTAAAAAAGAAATAACCAAGACAATATTCTCAGCCACAGTTTTGAAAAGAGTTACTGTTGATACAATGTTCTGGCTTCTAGAAGAGAAATCTTGCTTAGAGCTTGTGCTCAGACTCTTCATCTTGTCCTTGTCGTGTTCCTTTCCTTGTCTCTTTAAAGTAGGGTGCTCCAAAGCTCCTCATGTCCCTGTACAATTTAATTTGCCTCTTTTCACAGAGAGAAGAAGATTTCCCGCAGCAGTGCCCTGAAGGTGCTGGACCATGCCATGATTGGGCCAGAGGGCACAGACAACTGTCACAAGTTTGTGGACATCCTTGGGCTGAGAACCATCTTCCCTCTCTTCATGAAATCACCCAAAAAGATAAAGAAAGTTGGAACAACTGAAAAAGAACACGAAGGTAGGTGTGCTTCCAGATCCTTCTTATTGCTGTGGAGAATGGACAGCCAGTGTCTGAAAAGTGCCTGCAGGGAGGAGGGAAGGGCACAGCACCCATCTTCACAGCTTTCAGGCCTGGGTGTCCAGCCTGCTGCTCCTGTCACAACTGGCTGTTGAGGGCATGCTTGTCCTGCTTGTTTTGGTATCAGCAGCTCCTGGCAATTCCATTTCATGTGCTGTTAATAAGTTATTTTACTCCTGTAGAGTCTGTTGTTTGAAGCTCTTACTCTGATGCAAAACTCTTTTGAAAAGAGTAATGAGGCAACTACAAATGTCACCTCAAAAGCAGTGTTTTCATGGCTCTGAGTACTGAAGTGTGACTGGATGAACATCAGGCATTGCAGAAATAAACTGCATTGCTTTTGAAGTTGCTTTTTTTTTCCCTTTTTATATTTTTTAACTCTCTGCCCTGGAAAACTGCTTTAACAGTGATCTGCTGTGGAATAAAGCTACCATTACTGTGGGACCTTACACTGAGCTGAGTGGTCAGTCCCCCCTGCTCCTGGTAGCACTGCCTTTCCCATTTTGTTGGGAAATAAAGTAGACTATGGACTATGTCTTGGAAGAAACTTTAAATACTGCCAGTGATGCTTAAGGTTTTGTGCCAGTTCATTGCTCAGCTCAGTTCTGCAGGGGGTGAATATTGTCAAAAGCTGAAGAGGTTTGAGAGGCTCTCACATATGCCTAGGATCCATCCTGAGCTCCTGCAGCAAGCCAAGGGAAAGTGGAAGGAAATAGCAAAAACATGGGAGCTTGAAACCCAAATCCCCTGCTTTGGGACTGTCCTGGCAGCTGAGGTGGGACTCAGGTGTTCTCCCAAGGCCAGGAGGGAGGTGCTGTCCCTGCAGAGCTCTCTGGGGCCCTGGCTGGGACTGAGCAGCTCCTTTCTCTGGCAGAGCTGCTGAGCTGGGACAGCTGCTTGTCCTCCTTCCTGAGGACAAGGAATGGGCAGTGACATGGGCTGGGCATGTGTTGCAGTGGCTGCTTTCCTGGCAGGTAGAGAGCAGGGGCTCACCAGTCACCCAACCCCAGAGCAATTCACACACTTGCTGACAGTTCTGGTCACTTTATCTGCCTTGTGTTTCTTGTCTTGGATAGATAATGGTGAGGGGGAAATTGTGGTCTGGGGTTTATTCAGAGATAGGTTTGGTTTCTGTAGGTTATGTAATAAAATTGCAGGTTTATGTAATAAAATACACAGTTATGCTTCGATGGATTTAGGGGAGGTTTAGAAATTTTCATTTGCAGTGTGAAAGTGAGGTTTGTTTAATTCTTCTTACTGAGAGAAAGCTTCAGCTGGAAGGGGAGGTTCTGGGTAGAGTCTGAGTCTGTGGCTCATGCCATTGACTTAATTTTTCAGTTTTGGAAAGTGAGCTAATCTCTGTCTCATCTGCTTCTGGAGACTGCAGTTGATACCTGTGGGCAGTCGTGGCTGCTGTGAGGATTAATCTGGAAAGCCCTGACAGGGTCAGTTCCTGACTATTTCTGTGGTAGCATGAAAAGCCAGTCTGGCCTCAGGAGAATGAAGTGATCCATGCAAACAGGCTTTGTATCACATCTCCGTCTCATTATCATGCTGAAGAAATGGAGAACATTAAGATGAGTCCAGAAATCAGTTCTATTAAAATAAACTCTCCCTAAAAGGCTGTGGTAGTAAGTCCAATTTTCTTTGTTTTGCATCAGTGGGCAGGTGAGTTCCTGAATTTCTAACGACAGGAGGTAATAGAGATGTTCAGCAGGGCTCCCTGGGGCCTGTCACGCCGCTGTCCTGACACGGTGTAAGCAGCACAGTGTGTGCTTTTCCTCTGCTGAGTGTTGCCCCAGCCATGCAGTACTTGCTCCTGGGGGGAACCTGGCACAGGCTCCTGGGTGCCTCTGGCTTTAAGGAAAGTGGTGCAGGTGTGGCATGATGGAACTGGTTCCCTCCGTGCTGTTCTGGTCCTAGGAACATGCTGCTTTTTGCTTATCTCTTTGTTTATTGATCAAAAAGAAATCTCATGTTCAGCCTGCATCTTTTATCATAAAAACTTTATCCTGTGTTCAATCCGTTTCAAAAAAGTTAATTAGGACAATCTTGTGTTAGGAGAGCTTTCATGTGTATGCCAAATGGAGGAAGAGATTCCTTTAAAGGATTCTTTGGAATGGCTTTGCAGCAGTGGCATCAGTATTTATTTAAAGCAGCTCTGAGGAGCTGGGCTGTGCTTGCCCTCCTTGCATTGCTGCTGGGATGGTATTGGGCTGGGCACTCCAGGCTGTGCTGGAAAATACAAAATCCTCAGTGGGCTCTGAAACCTGGGCCCTAATTACAGGTGCCTAAAGGCCAGCCTTGCTAAAATGCTCCAGCACTGGGTGAGGTATCAAGCAGCTCTGCTGAAGGGTTTGTCCTGCCTGTCCCTCTGTCTCTTTGTGTGCAGTGGCTGAAGTGCCACCAGCCTGGCACTCACTGTGGCTCCAGGTGCTTCACCTCTCCCAAGACATCCAGTGCTCAATCTCTAGAGCACCAAATCTTCTGTATGCATCTGATGGTTGTAGGGAAATATCCCCTTGTCTTTATTTTATAGCAGTGTTGCTATTTACATAAGAGATAGTCTATAAAACTATGTTTGTTTTATTGTCTCTAAGGCAGTGTTCTGAATGTGACAAAATAATAAATACCCCAGTGAAAAAAAATCTCAATGTGACTTGCTGAGCCTTTATTTATTGCAGAAATTTATAATCCAAATTAAATTTGATAAAAGTAACTTCTCTGTAATGTATTTCTTCCTTTCTAAATGCTAGCATAAAGGTGTCAGTGCTGGTTAGCTACATTTTAAACACTGTCAGTGTTTAAAAATTATTTTACTCTAGGGAGCCTGTGAACAATTTAAATCCAAACTGCACGTATTTATGCTTTATGTACACTATGTAATTAGGAAAAAAGAAAGGGAAAATTTCTTAACCATCTTTATGGATGATCTGAGCCTGAAGATTGGGCCTGTGGTGTCTAACTGAGTGCACATTATCTACACTTGAATTTTGCCTGTGTTTGTACAGATCATTATATTAAGATATTAGATTTGGGAGAAAAAACTCATTGGAAGCAATTTCCCTTTTTCTGAGGCAGTGAAGCAACTCAAACCAGAAATATTTTGCAGCTGAAGACAGAAATGGCTTAGAGTTTTCCTGTGTCTGTGGAGTTGCAATACTCATGTGAGTGCCCAGCTGGGTTGGGCAGCCACAAAGAGAACCAGGCTGGCAGTGTGGTTGTGTATTGTGAGCTGGTTGAACAGCAGTGTCCCTTTAATGTCTGTCATTGCAGGGAGTGCACAGAAATCTGCCTCTGGGTGGTTCTTGGCATAAAAAGAGGGTAAGATTTTAAATAGCACTACTGTGTTGTGACTTTTGAAATGTGGGGGTTGCTCTATGAGCGTCTGCATTCCCAAAACCTTCCTGCTGCAGAGCTGAGAGTAGTTGACTTTTGAAATGTGGGTATTGCTCTGCATTCCCAAAACCTTCCTGCTGCAGAGCTGAGAGTAGGGTTGTCCCTCTGTCCATGAGGGTGCAGCAGCTCTCAGCACAGTCGAGTCACAGCGTTGGATGCTGGTTTAAAATTCTTGAACAGTCTCAGTGAGCTAAAAATGGAGAAAACACAAATTCCTCCTGAATTAGAGAGTCTGTAGTGAGGCAATCATAGCTGGCTCGACAGGCTGTATATCCTCCTGCTCTTTCTCAGGATGGTTATTTGCAGCCGAGTTTTGCTCACTTGGAGAGTGTAATGAACTATAAAAGGATGTTTGTCCAATTCATCTTCATTTAAAAGCCTTCTCTTGTCTTAGATGTCAGTTTTACTTAGGAATGCTTAATTTGATAACCTGAGAATTAGTTCAGCCAGTTTCCAAAGGAGAATTCCTATCGCTGGGGTGTTTTGCTTGTTTGCCCTCTATCAATAACAAAGCCTCTTTTGGAGATCCTCAGCTACACCCTCCTTTTAAAAACAACAACAAAACCCATCTCTTAGTAAATATACTCTTACTCCTTTGTGACAGCACTAAAGTCAGCAGAGCCCTTGGAATGAATGTCTGCTTCAGAGCCAGGTTCCCTGGGCGTGGAGAAGTGAAAAGGCAGCAGCAGAAACATGGCCTGATAAGGAGTTATTGGTATTAACTGAGCACCCTCTGACAGCCAGCAGAAAGCGTTTTTCTTTTGGTGGTCTTGAGGAGTGAGCACCCAGGGAAGGCATCAGTCTGTTTAAGCAGAACTTTATTATGCCAATTTGTTATTTCACCATCACCCTCCGACAGGAACCTGTGATTTGAGTGAGCCATGATGCTGAGAACAGAGTTAAATTTATCTCAATTAAAGTGAGCGTGCTCTGTTGCAAGAACATCAGAAAAATAAACTTTCTCAGTCAATAGAAAGAATTTTGTTTTATGTTCAGCTTGATGACTGGATCCAGCTCACCAGGGCTGTTGCATGTGGAGCTTTTCCAACCCTCCCAGGCCCCCCTTCACCCATCCATAAAATTGGTGTTCTTGCTTGTTCTCAGTATTTTAAGATAAGATTTTTTTTTTTGCAAATGCAGTGATATTTGAGTGGGTTAATCTTCTGAAATGTAGATTATTAATGCACATGGAAACAAGTCAGGTTATCAGATGCTACACCACTGGAATAGCATGTCCCAGTGCCACCTGTAATACTGGGATGGACCAGTGGCTTCATCCAGGTGTCCCAGCAGCCCTGAAGCCACTGAGTTGTGTGCCAAGGAGGGGTAGAAGTATCTCAAAGAGCTGGCTTGCTTTTTTCTAGTATTTTCCTGCTTCTAATTAGGAACTACAATTTATCATAAGTGTTCTTTACAAGGCTGAAGGCTCTTAAATGTGTTCTGCTGAGTTCACCAGCTTGGTTTCCAATGGGCTGCTCTCCCTGGCATCCAGAACTGCCCACTGTCCCCTTCCTGCAGGATGATGCTTGCCTCCTCTTCCTCACTGTTGAGCTTCCTCCCCTGCCAGGCAGATGTCCATTATAATGAGATGTAAAAAGAAGAAAAAAAAAAAGCAGGGGGTGGGGATAATAAAGGCAGAGGAGTGTAGTGTTACAGCTTGATTTGACAGGACCTCCTGCTGTTGCAGCTGCCAGTGCCAGCCATGGAATAGATTAATCTGTATTCCAACACGCCGAGCTGAAGTCAAGATCGATCTAATTAGGGTGTTTTAAACACTGCTTGCATGCTGAAGTCTCTGTGCCTGTCTGGAGAGGGAAAGGCTCCCGAGAGCTTGAGGTGATGCTGGGCTAAGCAGGACCCCGGTGCTGCTGCAGGAAGCACATGGAATGTGACCTCCTAGAGCCAGGGATGTGTTTGGGATGGTGCCCTGCAGGACTGGGGTCTTGGGGAGCAGGTCAGCCAGCCATGGGGCAGCAGCAGTGCTACTGGCTGGTGAGAGAGAAGCCTCCCATCTTCCCACATCCATTAATTTAGGGGATTTGGGGATGTTTGCTTGAAAAAACATGTTCTTGATGCATAGTAGCTGCCAGCTGGTACCTGTTATTTCTGTGAAGGCACCTTTGTGGTGCTTTAACACAGCTTGGTTTGGTGTTTGCTTCTCAAAGGAATCACATTTAGTCATTCTTTGAAATAGGGCTCTTCTGCAACCTCTGCCTCTGGCCTTGTCTGTGCCCTTCCTGGAAGTGATGCCTTTTGTGCAGGGGATGTGGACTTTGGCTGAGTGTTACATTCCTATGGAGAAGCTCCCAGAATATTCTGTAGCAGGGAGGCTGCCTGTGGCTTCACCCTGGGGCAATGCACAGCTCATGGCCTCTGTCTGCACTGGGATCAAAGCCAGGCAGCTGCAGGTTCTGTGTTCTGGGGACTCAAACAGCATCAGCTACTCTCCATTTCCCAAAGGAGATCCAACCCTGAGCAAATATTGTGATTACAGCTTTTAAGATGTTGCACATGTGAGATGGAGGTTGGGTCAGTCCATGGTCTAATGGTGGGACCCCTTCTGTGGGAACCTGCACCCCAAGGTTGGTGTTTGTCCCTTCCCATGGCTGTGCAAACACTTTAATCCACGGAATCATGGACTCAGCCTCTCATTCCATCAAGCTTTGCCCTCATTTTGGCCAGTGTCCTTGCCTGTGGATGTTGGTATTTATTGGGCCAGGACTTGCATTATCAGGCATAACCTTGATTTTTGGGTGCAACATAAAACACACTAGTGTGTTATTTTTCAGGAAGCTGATAAAAAACCAGTTTAGATGGTTCAGAAATACTTCTGTGAAATATTTCTTTGAACATTTTGACCAGGCAATTGAATACTTCCTGGCTTTTTCTGCAGTGATATGTTGAAAGAATAACCTTGTTCTCAAAACCTCTGTGTCAGCTCCTTTAGACTTGTCAGTAGTTTTAAAGATTTTATTGATAAAATGGATAAATATCTGCATACAACCACCAAAGCAAAAATGATGGCTAAAATACATTTCATAGTAAAGGAATATTGGAAAAAAGCAATGAAGATAGATCATTGGTGAGAATACTGCTGCTAAAATGCTGCATCAACACTTCCAAAAAAAGAAGGTTGGGGGGAAAAAATAGTGTGACATACAGAATGCTGACTTCTTCCTAAACCAGCAGAGCATATGTTGGCATATATGGCGAAAAATTGCTTTCTCCTTAAGAAAACGGGATCTTGCAAGAACTTGAAGGTTTTTACAATGCAACACTTAAACTGGTGTTGCTTTTTGTGGAGTAACAGTTTGTGTGCAGTGGGAGCGTGCTCTGCCTCCCCTGGAGCCATCGTTCAGCCCCGTTGGGCTGTCGGGATGACGGAGCAGCCACACGGCGCGGCCACCCGATAAACCTGTTATCTGCCTGCTCCTCCTGCCAGCCACGCTCCCAATCTCCTTGGAACATGAAAAATTGACACCACCTCAGGCAGAAATCTGTTTCGAAAAGGAAGCTCCATTTATAAGCGGCTAATGAAATGGGGGGGGGGGTGTGAGTGTGCCTGTGCAGCCTCTCCTCGTGCTGCCCTTGTGCAGGATGCAGATAATCCATGCAGCAGGGAGCACAGCACCCTGGCCAGGCAGCCTGCCTGCCTTCACCTTCCAGGGCCCAGGCAGCTGGGAGCAGGAGCTCCCAGCAAACACGGTGGTGTTGCTCATTCTTTGTGCTGGACTGGTCAGTCAGGGCTGCTCGTGGCTCTGGGCTGGGCAGCACTGGGGATCCCTCTCCTCTGCACGCTGTGTTTCCCCCTCTGAAAATATCAAATCTTGAGGCCTCATTGTTCCCTATTACCATGGCTGAGGAACTGTTTATGGCCATTAATTTTCATCAGTCTTAATCAGCAAGATTACAGTGAGGTCATCTTGGAAATGGTAGGGTGGCTAAACCAGCAGGTCTGTGTTTAATGCAGTCATGCAGATGGGAAGTTGTGCTGACTGGTTTGGAAAGGGAAAGAGATTCAAGCCATTCTCCTTTGCTTTGCACTGCTGTGCTCGGGCTTGAGGAGAGTGGCTCAGTCACCTCTTGGAGTGGTGGGACATTGACACAGGTGTCTCCAGTGTGCTTGCAGCCTTGAATTTTACTTGTCTCCTTGGTTTGTGCTGAAAAATATGACCCCCAAGTGCAATTGAGAAGACTGTAAACATGTTTATTTGGTCGTTTCTGGTTTGTTGTGGTCCATTTATATTCATTGATAGGATTTTCTTTAAATGAAACTGGCTGGTTTGAGAATTTTTCCACTAGCTCATACCACTTCAGTCTCTGCAGGAGTGCACTTGTTCCCTTTCTCCAGCTTTCTTGTTTCAGTAGCTGTCCCTGCTTTGGTGACCTGAGGGTCATTTGGATGCTGGTTTTGGCCAGGGCTCCTTTAGGCACAAAAGAGGAGAAAACCAATTTCACTTGTGCTTTAGGTCCCTGAGGCAGAGGAGACCTCACTGGCTGGGCTGGAATAAAGAGCTGTCTGTGCTCCCTGCAAACATGGCTTGTGGCTCTCACTGCTGCTCTGGCTCCTCTCACCATGATGGGAAGGAACCAGGGTTGTGCTTATCAACAGCTAGGTGCTGGAGTGTTAATAGTGGATTTAATGGCATGTTACAGAGGGAAATGAGCTCCTCTTCCTGATCTCAGCATGCAATTTTCATTTTGTATTTCTAGAACATGTCTGTTCCATCCTGGCTTCCCTTCTGCGAAACCTGAGAGGGCAGCAGAGGACACGGTTACTGAATAAATTCACAGAGAATGACAGTGAGAAGGTGAGTGCTGAGTGTGTCTCAGTCTCTTGGCCTCCAGCTTGGGAGGGTTCTTGCTCAGGGTGCCTGGTGCACTTGCTGAGTTACAAAAAGCCATCCTTGTACCTGCCTGCAGAGACTTCTGCTGTCACAGACCTTTGTTCTCTCATTCACATTGTATCTACAAACTGCAAAACTAAATGTTTAGTGCATGGCCTCCACATTCCCTGTGCTCTTGTCTTCTCATGCCCTTGCTGTGGTAGTAGCAATTCTGTCCTGGGTTTTGTCTCTGCTGAAACCTGGCCCTAGAAGACAATCTGTGGTATTACATTATTCTGGCTCTGAGATCAGGACAGCGTGGAAAGGCACCAGTGTGTCTGGTGAAGCTCTTTTGCAGAGAATTTAGGAGTTGCTATGGTACACATTTAACATTCTCCACTCTTGTCCTAGAATGTTTCATTTTAGTGGTGTTTGCTCTGGGAAATTCTTCCCAAAATATTTACATGGTGGTGGATAGATCAAAGCTTCACAGAAAAGAAATAGCTTTTGCAAACTGGGGATCCCAAGAGATTTGTAAATTCTGCCACTGGGAAAATACTGGCTCCTTAGTATTCCTCATTAGTGTGTTTTAAAGGTGTTTTTCATAACCTGTTCTACCAATTGTAGATAATTACTAGACAGGATTTCAGCTGCCCTAACACAGTTCAGAGGAGAGTGGGAGAGCTGGAACATCCAGCACAGATAGACAAGTCCACTGGGGAAACCAGGAGCCTGGAGGACCACAGCACAGAGAGTGATCTGGGGACACGTGTCTGTTTGCTGCCGTTTATCTGGCACTGAAGGGACTGTGTTCCCATATAGGATCACATCCAAAAGCCTGCAGCCCCAGTGTGCTCATCCAACCAGCACTTGTACCCCCCTTCTGTAACACGTGTGTTCCTTCCTGGGAGGGACAGAGCTGCCTGTTGCTTTGTGAAGGCTGAAGCTGAGAGGAAAACAAAATTGCATGAAGGATAAAAGATGATTGCGCTGTTCTTTCTTCTTGCTTATGTCTCTCTCTTCTGCCCTTGCAGGTTGATAGGTTGATGGAGCTGTATTTTAAGTACCTGGATGCAATGCAGGCAGCTGATAAGAAGATTGATGGGGAGAAACACGTATGTATTGCTTAAGTTTTGCCAAGTCATGTCTGTAACACCTGTGCACAGCCATGTCATCTGTACAGGACTTCTGGCTCAGCCAGTCACTGTTCTCAGGTGTGCCCTCATACCTCTGCTGTTCCTCTTAATTCCTATTGCCTCACTTTCCAAGTTCCAGGTAACCTCAGATAAAGTGGGCCAAGAATTTCTCTACAAGTGCTTCTGGCTGTCTCTTAGAATGAATTTTACTAAAGTACCTAAGTCTGTCTGTGTTTCAATTTGCCTTCACTTTCACCTGGCTGCAGTCCTGCTTGGTTTGGCAGATGGAGAGCAGGTGAAATGCAGAAAGACAATTACATGATAATGTGTGAGGCCTCCTACCCTGGTCTGCAGAGTTGTGATCAGCAATGAGAAAGTGTCTGTGTTGATGAGTGGCTGAGGAGCAGCCAAGGGCTGTGTGCTCTCTGCACCCCAGCAGTGAACGTTTGAGTGACACGAGCCTTGGTACCGCACAGCACTTTCTTGGAACTGAGGCTGGAACAGACCTTTTGAAAGGGAACGAGCGGCTGGAGTCAGGAAGCAGCTTGCAGAGCTGTTAGTGAGCTTGGCCAGCTTCCCACAAGATTATCTGTATCAGTGCTGGGGAGGGTGTGAGATTGATTAGCACCGACGGAGAGCGATGGCTGCAGCTGCCGTCGCGCACGCCGCGCTCTGTGTGCCACGGGCAGCAGCCCCCCACCAGGCCCCGACAAACAGCTGCCTGCCCGTGCCAAGGCTGCTTCTCTGGGCACTGCCAAACATTCCGAGGGCATCGGAGCACTGCTGCTGCTCAAAGAGGCACGGGAGTGAGTGATGAATGGAGCTGCTTTTGCTGCCAGCACTCAGGCTCCATATGGGCAGCGGCACCGCTGAGCAGTGGCCTGGAGGAAAACAGCATTTACCCTTCCTGCTTTCCTTCTGTGCTCTGTCCTTCCTCCTCAGGACAGGGAAAGAAATTATTCATTCTTTACGTTTTGGTGTTGGTGTGGGGGTTTTAGAATTCAAAAACCAGATTGGATTTTTTCAGTTGAAGTCTTGTAGTGTGTTGGAGCTGCTTGTACAGAGCCTAAAATACCACATGCAGAGCAAGGGTATGTGCCCTTTACCCAGGAACACCCTGGAGCAGCCTGCAACGTTAACATCTGTAGCAAACAGCCAGCACAAAGCAGGAGTGGAGGGAATTTGAGTGTGAAGAAGTTTTTGTGGAAGCTTTTTAATTAATAATAATATTAATAATAATATTAACCCATTCATGTCTACTAAATGCATAAGAGAAGTAAAACTAAGGAATGTCAGATTCTCCTCCTATCCAAAATAAATGGACCTCAATTCTTTACCTTCTATTAGAGCTAATAATAGGATTTGGCAGAAGCATCTTATGACTGTAACATATTGGCCACAACATGTATAAAATATGATGTTCAAGTTCAATCCTAGCTTGGAACACTTCTGGAGAATTATAATTTGCTTTATTTTGTAGCATCATCAGATGGTCAGTGGGACATGGTCTCCTGAGTTCTGAAGTGGCTCAAGTGTTTACCCCACACAGAAATAGGCAAAAGCCATCATTCTGTCTGTCACATCGTAGCACTGTCTGGCTGTGACAGGATTTATGGGACTCTTTAATGTTTTTTGTTGTGGCACATGAATCACTGAGGTGGATTGTATGAACACTTTAGAAACCGTGCTCTGTCACTGGGGAGCTTTTGACCTTTCCCTTGCAGTAGAGGACATGGTACCCCAAAAACCTGGTATACAGATCCTTCTCTTTCTCCCTGCCCCACAGAAAAATGATACTTGGTGAGATTTTACAGGTTCAGCCTACTCTGAGTCTGATGGACAGAGTATCCTGGTGTAAGTCTTGCATTACAAGGAGTGAAAAGCTGCTTACACAAGGAATGACTGAGTGCTTTATCTTTAGTAGTGCAGCTGGCATAAGAAATTCCTGCTCTTGTAGTTCTCCTCCTTTATATTTCTTTTAGCTTGGCTTATTTTAGTGATTTGGTTTATAGCCCTGCTTTTCAGCCCATGGCAGTGATGGTAGGGGAATAGTTGAGGGTGGAAGGGAGGGGAGGAATTTCTGAAACCAGCTGTTTTGAGGAGGAGCAGTTGTAATAATCTGCACCCTGATCTGGAGTGTGAAACAGGATGAGGTCATTGAGCCCCTTCTTACTGTTACCCCCTAATTTGCTTCAGTGGAATCTGTTCAGAAGAGTTCAGAGGTGATAACTTGGTGATTATCCTAATTGCCATGGGAAACCCAGGAGCAAAGTCCATGAGAGCATTGTCTCCCAACACCTGATGTCTATCTTAGCACTTTTCTCAGAGTTTTTAGTTAATGAAAATATCTTGTTCTCCTCTCAATTTCTTTAATTATTTCTGTAGGAAATGGTGCAACATCCTGTGGCCTTTACCTCTCTCTAAAATGAGGTATAATTATGGGTGGCAGCAATAGCCTTGATGATCTCTAAAGATGGTAGGAAACGACAAGAGGTAGTTTAATATTTTTATAGTTCCACGGAAAATTATGCTCATCAGGTTTATTCAATAAAATATTCTCACCAGACACTTTGTGCTATAATGACTTACAAATTACATGCTAATTGTGGTACAGCTCAGCCACTCTATCCTTGAAAGGAAGAGGTGGAACTGCTAGGATGAGTGTGGTATCCACAGGTGGGGATAACAGGTGGGGATTTGTGTCAGTCCATCCTTTTCAGTTTGGTGTAGAAAGACCAAATTGCTCGGAACTGTGCTGAGGGCAGAACATGATGGCTGTGAGTGTGACATGAGCCTGTGGTCTGAAGGCCCTTCCTGAGCATGTCTTGCATCCCTCAGCTCTCCCCAAAAATACAGACAGAAAGCAGTAAGGGCAGAGACTCCATCCTTAGAGGGAGAGACACGTTGTGGTGGTTGTTCTGGTGCATGGCTATTTGGAATGTGTTCATTTCTGTCCTCCTGGATTGGCCTTGCTGTTCCACATTGTGAGGGTGTAAAACCAGCATCCTGGAGGTGTTCTTTGTTCTTGATCAATATCCTTTTGCTCTGCCCAGCTGTGCAGTGTGTGCTGGAAGGTGAGTGATAGATGAGGAGGGAGGAGGATGCAGAAATCTCCTCCAGTGCCTGTGTGGAGCAATGTGATTTTTGGTACAGCACTGGCACATCCATCGCATCTTTAGGCTTGGAGTCTCTACTTGACACCTCGAGGCCTGTCAGTCCTGCCTCATTAGTGTGAGAGAAGCTCATTTTAGCTTCACAGAAGCCCATCTTATTGCTGTCTTCTCCCATCAGCAAGGGGCATCTCAGTACATATTGCTGGCAGATTAGAAATGGCACCTGAGCGCTCATTTGGAGGTTAGCGACTGACAGCTTTGAAAGAGAGTCCAAGTGGGAGAGGGGCTGCTTGGTACTGTACTGGAGGCAGACTAGCACTGAAAGGGTGCCTGTGGTTTGAAAAAACAAAAAGAGGAGTGTGAAAAAGCATCTTAAAACTGTACTTGTGTTCTAATTCATATCTGCTTAATTTACTGGCACAAAATAATCTCCTCTGCTGAGAGGGGCTGTTGGAGCCGGCGCCGCTCTGTAATCAAGACCGCGGCTGCCTGGATCCAGCTCCTGTGCTCGGATCAGAATACAGAGCAGACCTGGCCTTTGTTTCTTGCTCTGGAGATTCAGAGTCCTGGCCTGTGGATGTTTTTCTGCTCAGGAATTTAGCACTGTTGAGCAGAGCAGCCAGTGAGCCTGTGTGCAGTGCAGAGTGTGAGCGGTGGTACAGGAGTGAGTGTGTTGTCCTTCTTGAGTGTTTTTTTAGGTAATTCAGTCAGTGTTCAGCTCTCTCACTAGCCAGACTCATCATTGTTCAGCTTTAGAGACCAGATTTGAGCCATTTGGCATGGATATAGGGTGAGGGAAGTCACTCTCTGCACAAAATTAGATTTTTCTCTTTACTGGCAAGAGCTCACAGGCAAGCTTTGCCCAGTCATGTGCAAGCATGCCCAGCCTGTGCCCATGATTTTGAAAACCTGGAGTAAATGACAGTCATGCATGTGTTGGAGTCTTCAGGATCTGATGCTAAAGCGTCATATCTGAGTGTAGCCAAAACAGTTGATTTCACAACATGATTAAGAAGACACTGGTTTCTAAATTTGTTCTTTTACTGGCAGACTGGATTTCTAGGAGGAAAGGAGAAGTATTTCACTACCTAAGCTTTTCTCTCTCTGTCAAGAGGAAGTGAGAGTCAGCTGTCTAAGTCACTCCATCAGATTTCTATCCGGGGAGCATCCATTGCCCCCCTCTGGGGAAAGTTGCACAGGGCTCATTTTCCTTCTTACCCCTAAAACCCTCAACTCACCACTAGATGCGAGGGCTTGGCTTGACAGAACAGCAAAATTTGGCAGCCTCAGTCAGCTTTGGTGCTGGTGACTGCGTGCCTGGAGCACGTGTGCCCAAGGAGGTGCGTCCTGTGGAGCGTTGCGGGTGCGCAGCGCTCGCAGGTGATGGCTCTGATGAGGAAATATTGCTCCACCTGCCAGACGGCTGCAGAATAAATCACAGAGCTGCAGTGAGCTCAAGGGGCTGATGAGCTGCTTCCTTTGTTTAAGAACAAACCTGAAGACAAACCCCAAAATGCAGGAGGCGACACGTGGCGCAGTTGTTTAGGCCTGTCAGTCCCCATGAGGATGGAGCACAGGCACGTCCAGGGCCAGCTCAGAGGAGGCTGCTCTGAGCTCACTGCCAGGTGGGAATTGGCAGTATTTTGAAGAAGATGAGCTCTCTGGACATGAGGAGTGGAATGGAATGGAATGGAATGGAATGGAATGGAATGGAATGGAATGGAATGGAATGGAATGGCCTCTTTTGTTCTCCTTCTGGGCAGGTCTCTCTGGTGAAGAAGAAGGATGGATGGTGGGTCATCATTCCCATGAGAGTCTTTGGCTAAAAAGCCCTGTCCTGGGTCTACCCTGGCAGCACCTCTTAGAAACAGCTGGAAGAGCCTGGCTGGGCACGGAAAAGCTGTCCTTGTGCAGGGTTTTCAGATGTGCTTTCTCATGTATCAGTCAATCATGAAGCTAGAAGCCCGATAGCTCTTAGAGTGTGCTGGAGTCATGTTCTGCACTGCTGAACAGCACCCTCAGATGGCCAGTAAAAGAGCAGGTTTTGTTCCATTCTGACAAAGAACTTGTAAATCACGGATACATGCGTTTGTTCCATAGTCACACACTCTCACCCCTCAATGTAGAAATGTGATTTGTATGTTTAAATTAAAATTTTGACTTGCAGATGGACACACTTCATGGCCAGCAAAGGCAAAACTTCTTCAAAACTGAATGAAATGTTTTGTGAATTTAAATCAATTATTAAAAATACTTCTTCGGCAAGAAATATATGGCTGGTAACGTTTGGGGGAACAAAACAATTCTTAAGAAACTACAAATTCCACGAACATTTTGCCACTCCTAATGGGAAGTGCTCTGAGAGAATCCTCACACCTTTCCTTTGTGTGGTTTTACAGGACATGGTGCGCCGAGGAGAGATCATCGACGATGACATGGAAGATGAATTCTATCTCCGTCGTCTGGACGCCGGGCTCTTTGTGCTGCAGCTCATCTGTTACATCATGGCAGAGATCTGTAATGCCAACGTTCCCCAGGTAAAGCTGCCTGCAAGGTTGGCAGATCATCTGTGTTTCCATTCATGGTGCAGACAAGGCTCTAAATCTTTGCAAATGCTGCGTTGAGTAATTGTTTCTCTAATTCCCTTTTGGGGAGGAAACCTGCTGTTTATTGCACTTGTGTCCATACAGTTCCATCAAGTTGCAGCAGATAGGGCATTAGTGGGGACAGAAGTTGATTGTTGTCACCAAATTCATATAATCTATGTGAGCAAGGTCAGGGTTTGAAATGGAAAGGCCATGTTGATGCCATTGCTGAGGGAGCAGGGGGAAGGGACCTGCTCTCAGGAGGTCTCACAAAAGCACAGCTACAGCTTTTCTTGATCTGTACAAAATGCACAGATACATCTCTGCTTCCTCTGAATACATTGGGGTTTGTGAATGCATTCTGTGGCTTCTTATTTCTGTGCCATGTGCCTTCCTGGGTGTTCCTGAGCAGATGCTGAGGGCTGCCAAGACTGAGTTGGTTTTTGTGGTGCCCTGGTCACTGCTTATCCCTCAAAGTGGGAAAAACTGGGGCTGCGCATGGACTTGTGTTGAAGATCTCTTTCTTCTCTCTCCTACTCCTCATCAGATTCGTCAGAGAGTCCACCAGATCCTGAACATGAGAGGCAGCTCCATTAAAATTGTTCGACACATCCTGAAGGGTGAGTAGAGATATTTTTGTGCAAGTGTCTCATCGCTACCAGGGACAGCTTGGTCATCGCTTTGCAGGATGAGCCTTCACATGTAATTCTCCCTGGCTTCCTGAGCATCTCCAGGCAGCAGCTGAGCAGTGTTCTGAGATCCTGGCAGGGCTGGAATCACCCTGATTAGTGGCGTGCTTTGCTTTGCCTCCGAGTTAGGACACTTGCTGTAGCTGCTGTCAGAGAGCAGCACATCACTGCACGCTTCCATCAGCTCCAGCCTGGCTGGAATTCACTGCTGACATTAACGTGAGAGTAAATATTTAAGGGAATTGTACATGCCTGCTAGAGGGAAGAATAGTGGAGTCTCATCTTTCATTAACATGGCCTTGCACTTTACCATCTGCACCATATTAGTACCTGTGGTGTATTTGTCTTGTTCTTAGTGTCAAATTAATAGGGATTATAGCATTAAAGTATCCTCCATAGCTTTAAAATGTAGCTGTTGTGATTTGCAATCCCAGTTTTAAAGTACTGCTTGTTATTTTTAATGCTCATGGTGAATTAGAGCAATGCCTCTTTGAGTTGTGGCCCTCCTCTGCAGCCTGCTGTCCTTCAGCAGCAGCAGCCAGTGGAACTGGGGGAGAGGAGGGCAGGACTCAGCCTCTTCCCATGGCCCCACGGAGCTGAGAGGCTTAGTGGGAGCAGCAGGGAACCAGAGCTACCTGGAGAAGATGCTTCCTTATGGAATGTATCTGCTCCAAAGGGGCTGTGTTGTTTTCAGTGTGAGGAGAAGAGTCTGTTTTTCTTCTGGAGGGAAAGGAAGCTTGGCAGCATTTCTGGGGCAGTGGGCTATGGGATGTGTTCCAGTGTTTCTGCTTCCTTTGGGAGCAACAATGTTCTCCTGGGCTTTTCTTGCCCCCACTTCAACAATGGCAGGTACACACAGCTTATTTCCTGCAAAACCTGTCGGCTTTCTCCTTTCTGATGTGCAGGAAAAAAGGAATCAGAAGGCTGGCTGGTATGACAAAATTAAGAGTGATTTTCTGACAGTGTGAAATTACCTGCAGCTATGCAATCTCTTTGGCCCTTGTCTATAGCAACAAAGTGCAAGTTAATGCCTGCTGGTGAACAGGGGGGCTGCATACAATGTCTTTTCTGATTTTAATTATGATACTTGAAAATTCCTGCCTCTAAACTGCCCCTTTCCAGTGTGGACTGTGGCACACGTCCGTGTTCAGATTCCCACACTTGCCCTGGGCCGTGTGTCCCTGGGGGAGTTGTCTGCACACCTCGCTGGATTTGCACACCTCACAGTCACAGCTCTGGGGTGTTGACTTACATACCAAGCTGAATTGAAGGGCAGCTGCATTAAAATTTCATCTGATTCTTTTTTCCCAGACAGTGACTTGCATTGTGAAACTTTCTCCGTGCTTGTATCGGGTGTTCCAAGCTCAGGGTCGTGCTGGGCTGGGTGCTCTCAGCAGCAGCACTTTCCCTCCCTGAAGGGGCACTTTGACTTGTTAATAATGCAGGGATGGGTTCAGAGTTTGGGCTCTGACTGCAGCTCTCCCAACTTTCATACTTGCCAGTTTTAGAGACTTCTAGAGATAATAATCAAAACCTCAGTGATAAATTTCTTAGAGGGTGCTCGTGAAGTCCCCAGTGGGACCTGGGAGGCAGGAGCAGAACTGGGCTCAGCTGCAGTCTGGGCTTTGAAATTTGAGCATTTCAGTAGCTACACACCTGTGTCCATATGTGCAGTCAGCACAGACTCACCAGCCTGTAACAGCACCAGGTACACACAGCTGCTTCTCTGAGGGAGTCACTGCCCTGGACACAGCTTCCCAGGAAGCCAAGGGGCTGGAACAGGGATTTGGTGTGGACCCTGCACTGTGGGGCTTCCAAAACTTCACTGGAGTCAACTGCACAAGACTCTGTTGCAAGTGGCTGAGAGCTCAGGAGCTTGAGCCTTGGCTGGAATGTTTCCAGGCTACTTCCCAACTTGCTCTCAGGACAGATGAGGACCGGTTTATTTTTACTTTTCGTTCAGTGTTTTGCTCTTGTTCAGTTTTTATTTTCTATTTTTGCATACTAATTAGGTGCTCAGTTTTTAGTTTGATTTTTATGGCCTACATATTCTCCATGTTTCTCTGGCAACCTGACAGCTGATGGATCCCTTGGGGTGGCTCAGAATTACTTACGATGCAAGCAAGGAAGCGAGACTGTTTTCTTGTGGTAGCGCTTTCAAGGGGGAGGAGTGGGCAGGGAATAACGGGAGGCTCATTAATGCATTTCTGCAGGCTGACCAGTCCTCCCACACTTCCTTTTTCTCCAAGATCAAGCATTTCTTGCAACAGGACAGTCAGTTTATGCTTTGGAAGAAAACAACTGAGTGGTGTGTACCTTGGCTAGGGAGATGTTTTGGGGATGGAGGCTGGATTTGAGATGGCAGTGTCAGTATCTTGGGGAGGTGCCTGGTCTCCATCTGTCATTGGGAGTGGAGTGAGGCACAGGTTTCTCTGAAGTGATACTTGGCTCTGGAATGGCAAAATTCCCTGTTCCTCACTGATCCAGAGGGACTAACCATTGATCCTGGCTGCCTCAGGAGCTCTGTCAGAGCTGCTCCTGCTGAGGCTCCCTCTCACAGCTGGTGTCAGGTGAGCAGGCACACTGGGAGCTGGGCATGTGGCATGTCTGCTGCACCTTCCAGCCCAAACCTGTTAGCACAGGTAAACACAAAGGAAGGGTCAGTGTGCTCTGAGGATGGAGCTCAGTCTGGCTCATGGTGCCTCCATCTGTGCAGGCTCCACAGCTTCCAATATCCATTACAAGCCTCAGTATTTCCCAATTGATTTTTACTGTTCTGTAACCATTGTATTTTGTCTAATGAAGCAGAAACCAATCTTGGGCCCTTTCCCTTTGTGTAGCTACAGCAGTGTGTAAGCTCTGGTTAACTGTTGGCAGGAGCAGCTTACATGTGATTTTTTTTTAGCAGTCTCAGTGAAGTGGTGGAATTTTAAATAAAAAAGTAAATACATAAAATCTCGGTTGGAGATTTACTTTTTTAAGCCTGGTTCTGGGGGTTTTATCTGGTGTCTTCAAGCTGTTAATGCTTCAAATGAGCATTAGCAGCTGTCATAACCCAGTAAACATTCTGCCTTGGAGTAACAGGGGTTTTAGTCTTACAAAGCCTGGATGTTTAGAAGGAGAAATGCTAAGCTTTTGGACAAGATAAGAAGAATTTGTGTCTTGTTTTTGTTTGGGTGATCTCTCAGTACAAAGGAAGGGCAGTGTCATTAATGGCACTCAGGGGCTCCATGCTGAGCCCTAGTCCAGGCAGTCTGGCCATCCTTACTGGATGCTGGGGGCAGAGCTGCTGGCTGTGCCAGGCTTGGAGACTATGGCTGTCCCTCACCTGGGCTTGGAGAGGCCACTGCAGGTTGGAAGTTGCCCTTGGGCTGCAGTAAACTCCAGCACTCACATCCACTGCCTGTTCCAGAGGCACTTACCCTGATGGAGCATGGAAGGGGCTGCTGGGGACAGAGCTGGCTCCTCCACCAGCCCCAGCACTCAGGCTCTGGCACTGCCTGAGGGGAGCCTGAGCTGAATGCCAGCCTTGGCTGGGAAGGGAGCCCCTTCCCTGTGCACTGGGATCATCTTGTGCCTGAGGTTTGGATCCCCAGTGCAGCCCAAAGCACAAACAGGGCCGGGTGCCTCGCAGCAATCACTCCATCCACAGGAGCTACAAGGAGTCCCTCCTTGGAGGAGCTTCCTGCTGCTTTTGAGAGCTGTGGAGAGCAGCTCCTCCACTGAGAGAAGGTGCCCTGGGCTGGTCCCTTTGCTGGGACAGTGGGCAGCTCAGGTTCACCTGCAGCAAACCTCAGTGTTAACACCTGCTCATGTTACAGGTACTGGAGCAGTTTATAAATATTAAAAGTATTTTTCCCAGAGGCTTGGTAAAGAACTCTACTGCTTTTACATGGAGAGAGAGAGTGTACACACAGGAGGGAAGACTCCCACATCAGCTAACTTCTGCCTGTCCTCACTGCTTTCAGTGCTCCTGTAACAAAGGCTTTGATGGAGCTCAGAGCGTGTAGCTGTGCTAAATGTATAAATATTAAAGCAAACTTTCTGCAGCAACTTACCATTCAGTGCTGAATACAAGCTGTTCTGTTTGTTTGGAAGAAGGAAAAGAATGCAAGCAGGCGGAGGCAGGGAAGCGCTGTCTTAACCATCAGCCTGCTCCTGATTCCTCAGATTTGTTCAGCTCCTTGCTTCTGCAGCTCAGAACCTGCTTTTCATATCTTCTTTTTAAACCTTCTTTGAAAATGCAGGTTCTGGTTGCAGGAAGGAGGGAGCTGGAAGGGGATGAGAGCTGCCAGCTCCAAATGAATATCAGGAAAGAGAGCTACAGAGGGAATGTTTAGTTCTGTGGTGTTTGGCTGTGTGCATGGATGGGCAAGACCGTGGTCAGTCTGGTGTCCTCGGCCTGATGACAAGGAGTTTGGTTTGTAGTTAAATCTGAACTGCTGGCTTTTCTTCTGGGTGGTTAAAAGCACTGGGTAGATGGAGGAATTGGGGTCTCCTGGGCAAAAATCCTCATTCAGGATGCTTGGACAGCAGGACTGGGAATGATTAACAGTTGTCACAGACCCCACCTCACCTGTCCTGGTGACACTGAGTTGCCAAAGGGACCTAGGAATCTGGTGATTTGCAGTGATTTATGGTCTGTTTGCATTTCTTGGGCATAATGCCATGACTCCCATGCCTGGGAACGGGTGCTCCTGGGTGCTGCTGTCTGCTTGGGCCAGAGCAGGGAGTTCTCTGTGTCTGTCTGCCTCAACAGCTTTAATGAGTGTCAGCAGGTGTTTGTTATGCAAAGCTTCAACCCTGAGATGGGCAGGAAACCATCAGTGCTCCTTGCATTAATTCCCATTTGGCTGTCTGCAGTCGTGTGGGTGCAGATTCTGCTGTGGTGTGTGCAGGAGCTGTTGTCCTCTGTTTGTTCCTGTGGCACTCAAAGCCCGTGTCCCTGTGCTCTCTCCCTGCAGAGTACGCGGAGAACATCGGGGACGGGAAGAACCAGGAGTTCCGGGAGAGCGAGCAGAAACGGATCCTGGATCTGCTGGAGAATTTCTGAGGCCCTGGGAGACACCTCTGTGTCTGCCCACAAGGACCTGGCGCCAGTCCTCCCTCCTCCTGCCCCTCCTCCAGCCTCTGTTGCACGATCAAAGTGATGTTTCTATGAAACTGCTTCTAAATGGGATTTGGGAGATATTAAAGATAGTTTGCTTTTTTTTTTTAGTTGCTGGTTTGTTATTTGAGCAGTGTTCTGTGAGTGGGGCTGCAGCTGCATACCCAGCACAAAGCCAGCATGAGGTTCTCATCTTTTTTATCTTTTTCCCCCTAAATCAAGCTGCCAAGGATCAGTGTGAAACAATACAAATGTATGTGTGGCAGGGAGGGCAGAGAGGAAGCCTGCATGGCTCAAGAGACTGTTGGCAGGTTATTCCAGCCTGATGCATTAATGAAAATGTACAACCCTTGCTCTGATGGGAACCAGGGAGGCTGAGGCAGTGGTGTGTGTCCAGTTCATCCCTTCTTCAGTGGCAGACGAGATCCAGGAATCGACCACATCAGCCATTCCTGTTACATCTTCCCAAAGGTGAGTGGGAATTGAAAGTAGGTTCTGGCACAGGCTGGTCACTGTTCCCTTCTGAAGAGGGAAAAAAGGAGATGAGTCCATTGGGGTTTTACCCAGAACTAAGAGTGAGGGGAGGTAAGAAGTGACATGCCCAAATTCCATTGCCTTTCTTTCACAGTCAGCTTTGGGTCCTGGCTGTGCTTGTTCAGTAGAAAACCAGTGTTGTTGTTCCTGGACAGGGAGCTTGGCTTTTGGAGCAGCAGCAAGTCCCTGAGAGCAGAGGGATGGCCTGCCTGCCCCAGGAGAAGGGGCCACAGCTCATTCTCATCAGCCATGGTGTGGTTTTGGGTGTCATTGTGCCAGACTCCAGTGCTTCCCTGAGCCGGGACTCCCAGCTGGGATGGGAAGTGGCAGAGGATATTTTCCTGCATCCTCTTTTCTGCTGCTGAAGTTAATGACTGTCATCACAAGCCATCGTGGCTCCCGCAAGCTGGGCCGTGCCTAATTTAGAGAGATTTGCATGCTGGCAGCATTCATTTTTTATCTCCAAGAAAAATGCATTGTCAGGCAAGCTTAAAGGCTTCCTTCAATCCTGACTGCACAGGCACTGCTGGCCTGGTGCTATTGAACGCTGGTGTTCAGGGCATCAGCATGGAAGTCGTGGCTTCAGCAGCCACAAAAAGCTGCAAAAATACTTTTTTTTTTTTGTAGAACTTGTCAAATTCCTCATATCTTTCTTCTGTTTTCAATCTGCTTCCTTAGAGGTGTTTTTCCTTTAGCTTTCAGGTGTGTTTAGGTTTTTACTTGATTCTGGGATTTATTCCCTTTCCACACCAGTGGAGCTGTGGTCAGAGCTGGTCTCTGGTTTCCCCTGGAAGATAACTGGCTGTCCCCTCACACTGTGCCTGTGTTGGTGGAGCTGAGGTGAAAGGGAGGGATCTCAGAGAGTTTGAGGCAGGGCAGAAAGGGCACGTAGTGAATGTGGAACAGCTTCAGGTGAGAAGTGGGACCATGGATTTTGGGGAAGAAAAGGGCAGGGAAGGTCTTGAGAAAACTTTAGTAAACTGCCTAAGGGCAAGGTAAGCTTATAAATCTGAGTGTCCATTTTGAACCTGATTTTGCTGTTTGCTGCACATGTATGTGTAGATGTGATCATTTCCATGCACAGCTGGTGAGCTGCTGTGGGTGTGCAGTGCATGATCCCTGCATGGGGAAAACCTCCTGCAGCATCTGCTGGGAATGAAATATCAGTCACTGCCACAGTGGGTTGTGCCAGTGAACTCACATTGGAAGCTCTCACAGCAAAGGACAGGGGCTGGAGGAACCAAAAGTGTGGTGGGTGTGGTGTGTGGGTTCCCTGAGCTCCCTGGGGAGCAGGAAAGGGTCCTGGCACTGCTCCAGCTGCCAGCAGTGAGCTGTCCTGGGTCAGGAGAAGGAGCAGGCACAGCCTGTGATGGGGCCTCAGCAGCATGCTGTGAGGTGAGGGGTGCTCCCTCTGCAGGGCTGGGATGTGGTGCCACCCCTGCACTGTCCCTCACAGTTCTCAGGGCCGTGGTGCTGCTTCTGCTGCACCTGGGGAGCAGGAGTGCCTTGCTGTGAGTATTGTGTTCCCCAGCTGAAAGAAGAATTTGTGGCATTAGGGAATGGCAGTGTGCTCATCCCACCCAGCCCAGCCTCTGTTCCTGTGATGGATGAGGGTGCTCCAGATGTTGCTGAGGCATTTGCACAGAGATGGTTCCTGCAAAGCAGGCTTCTACAAGGTGGATGACGAATTATTCTTTTCTAATTTCCAAGCTCTTTCAGAGGGAGGAACCCCACTCCTCCAAAGGAACCCAGTCAGATTTGATCCTGGTAATCACAGCTGGCCCTGCCATGCACCCACACTGACCCCACACCCCACTGCTGGGAAACACTGGATCCTCTGCCTTTGGTCCTTGGGATAGGCTGGAGGCCCACCTGGGCACACTCTTATTAATTAAGGTAATTATTCAGCTTAATGTGCTGCTCCTAGCCAGCTCATTTGTGCTGTCATATTGAGCAGCACAGAAAAGCCTTGGAGGTGTGAGGATGGGCACCCCGAGTCTTGGCAGTTGTGGAGAATGACGTTATTGTAATTGAGGGAGGATTAAAAGGTGGAGCTAATAACAGATTTCCTTGAGGAAGCATCCATAGGCTGCAGACAGGGGGATTTGTGCCCTGCTTTAACCCTGCTGGTTCTGTGGCCCTGGAACAGCAGCATCACGGTTGGCTTTTGAGCTAAATGTGGATTTTGGGAGAGGGTGTAGGATTGGCACAACACACAGGCAGCACCTGTGGGACTCTGGGCTGCTGGGAGTGATGGCAGGGACTGGTGACAGCAGCCTGGTGGCCTTGGCTCCTCTGAGAGCCCTCATTGTGTTGAGCCACACTCCTCTGGCCACTCTGCTCTCAGCGTACCAGGCCAGCTTCAGCACAGGGCAGCAAAACATGCAGGGACAGAGACCCCTCTCCACTGTACCCCTCCCTGGGCTGTGCTTTCTCATCTGATTGTAAACAGATTTGACTAAAGAGGTAAATGAGAAGGTAATTAGAGGGAACATGATGGATGGGGCACTCTGGTGATGGGAAGCAGGAATCTTGCCCTCCAGGAGAAAGGAGCTGGTTGAGGATGTTCTCCAGCAGAGCACCCATGATACCTCATGCTTCCCTCTGCAGCAGGATGCAGTGGTGGGAGCTCTGGCCCCTGGGCATGCCCAAGGCTGCCCAGGCTGAGACCAGCTGTGGGCAGTGGCTGCTGCAGGCAGGGATGAGCCTGTCACCCGGACATCTGGACACTGATGCCCTTTTGCCAGGGCACAGATCAGGGCTCAGCAGCCTTTGGTACCAGGTGCACGAGGCTGCTGAGCATCAGTGCAGGATTTAAAAGCAGGAAAGCAGCGAAGGATGAGGGAGATGCTGTCCTCAGCCTGTGGGGTCATCGGATTCCTCTGCCCCTGGTGGGGTTTGGTTGGGCTGTGGCCAGGCTGGACTTGGCTGGGGCTGGGCAAATCCTGGGACAAGTCCTGGGGAAGCAGGAGCAGGGAGGGAAAGGGATGGTGACACCATCCATGCCATGGGTGGCAGGGTGGGATCCCCAGTGCTGGCAGCATCAGGGAGGGTCAGAGCACTGTTTTCCTCCTGCTGGGAGTGGCAGGAGCTGATGGCATTTCCCCCTGGCCACTGGAGACAGCACCGACCGTCCTCAGTGTGTGTCCAAATCCATCTTCAGCTGCGCTCCCGGCTGAGTCTCCCTAAATGGGGAGAAATGAGTGTAAATCATGGCTGAGGAACATCTCCTGATGTCCCAGTGGAGGGACTGAGGCTGTGCTAAATACAGCGAGAGGCTGTCAGCACTGGGAACAAACCGTCAGCTGCGAAATAAGTCACTTACACTATTGATTTTTTAAAATATTTTTTTTTCTTTTAAGGCCTTGCTCTCAGGGAAAGCTTTTCTCTTGGGGCAGGAAATTATTTGGAGGGGGAAGGGCTGGTTCAGTTTGTGGTATTTTTTGTTTGGTTTTTTTTTACATTTAATTTTTTTGGTGCTTAATTGTTTGGAAAGAGGGAACTGTTCCACAATGACGGACACCTGTGATATTGCTCCTCTCCATCAGGAACCTGGCGGTGGGTTCTGCAGAGGAAGGAGTTAATGGCCTGGAAACAGCCTTGAGTTCTCTGAAGAAATAATTCTTTTCACGTCATTTTCTTCTGAATTTTATGCTTTGGAGACTTCCCTGTGCAGGGGCTGCTCTGGGCAGAGGCCTTTGAGCCCCAAAGCCCCCATGTGCTTGGGGAGGGCCCATTCCTGCTGTCTTTCCCACATTGTGCTGGGACTCCCAGGGCTCCCCAGGGTGGGGGGCCAGGGACACGGGACTGTGACCATCCCAAAACAGGCAGGGGGACAAAACCACCACGTGTCCCTGCCCATAAATGCTCCCACTGCTCTCCCAGCCAGGTCGTGCCCTGGGAAGGGCTGTGCAGGCAGTGACACAAGGAGCCCGTGGTGGTGCTGATCTTGAGCAGGGTTCCCTCTCCCCAAAACACCCCTCCTGCTCGGTCTGTTTTTGATGCTGTTGTGGCTGTCATGGTGTGGGTGGGTGGGCTGTGTTTGCTCAGCTCCCCCTCTCTGCCTCCCTGGCTGCTCCCTCCCTGCACTGGGGATCCCGACAGGCGCTGCTGCCGTGGCTGGCTGTGCCCGGGATGATTTGTGCAGGAGCAGGCTCTAATGTTGCCTGGCGGGAGCATTGTTTTCCTGCAGCGCACGCAGACCTTTGCAAATAATCTAATAATGCAGGAATGTCAAACTTCAGCTGTGGAAGGAAATCCTTTTATACAGGAATTGTCAAGTCTCTAAACAAGTATCAGAAATGAGCTCAGTATCAATGTGGAGGGTGTTTATTCTGCCCGTCAGAGAGATGAACAACCCAATTCACTCTCCCAGGCAGACGCAAATTCGAGCATTGGCTGCTGGACCTCAGGAGAGCTCAGTGCTGAGCCTTGGGGTGCCCCTGCATGAGCCCCTAAAGAGGTGCATTTCAAAATAATGCATGAAGCAGACCCCAGTGCTTCAGCAGCTCTGGGGTTTGGGGTTTGAGGGGTTTTTTCTTCCATTTGCTGGGCAGCTTTTGTCAAAAGGGAACG